ATTTTATATACATATGTTATTTATTTTATGAATATATATTTTTAACGTTGAACATATATTTAATTGTTTATATAAATGTATTGTTAGTTTTAAGATGTTCTTATGTATTAAGAGAATGAAAATGGAAATTAAATATGGTTGTTAAGATTTTATTATACAAATACAAAAGATAAGGTTACAACTTTTCTAAGGAATGGTTCATTTTAAAAAAATCACACATGAAGAGAAGTTGTGACTTCTGTTTTAATATAATAGACTAGAGTTTCACCCGCACATCCGTGCGGGTATATTTTTTATTTTATAAATATATAACTAATTTTTTTTAATATATGATTTATATTTTAGCTTTAATTATAATCATATCTAATAACAAAATAAAGAAATACTTATTTTATAAAAAATATATTTAAAATTTTTGGTAAGATCTTGTTAGATTTTTTCAACAGATTTTGTTATATTTAAATTTATTTATTATTAATGTTCTTATTAGTTATTAAGATATTGTGAAAATCATATATATTTGACTGGTTAATGTAACAATAAAATATGTCAATTAAGTAATTAATAACATNGATTTTTTCAACAGATTTTGTTATATTTAAATTTATTTATTATTAATGTTCTTATTAGTTATTAAGATATTGTGAAAATCATATATATTTGACTGGTTAATGTAACAATAAAATATGTCAATTAAGTAATTAATAACATGGTCCAACATGACTTCTAAATAGTAGATAAATTTGGTCCTTCTCTTTTAATAGAGAAGATACCCCAAAATACTTCCTCACCAAAAAAAATTAATATCACATTTGCTTTTACGAAATCTTCTTGAAATGTTCCTAGATCTTTCTAAAAGATTGGTATTGCTTTTTAAAAACATAAATAAATATTGTGGTATTTTGAGAATATAATTATGAAATAAAAAGTTGGAAATTGGCAGAGTTTGGGCATGAATATTTTGAAGAAGCGACACATGATGGGGACGTCAAGGAGGTGGAGAAGAGGAGAAAGAATCTTGAAAAATATAAAAGTGTCCTCAACTCAAAAAGCAATGAAGAAGCTTTGGTGGGTAGTGTAGTTACTCTCTCTTTCACTTTTATAGTTATACCATTTTTCTTTGGCAATAACTTTGGACTGGATTCTGTATTGATGGTATGTTGTTAAACTGTGTTTAGGCTAATTTTGCAAAATGGGAACCGCGTCACGGCAAGTTTAGATTTAGGCATCCATGGAAACAATACCTTGCCGTGGCTGCATTACTCCGGCAGTGTGCCTACCGGATTGATGCGTTGAATTCATACATCAACTCAGATTTTCAGGTATTATTTCAGATTTGCATAACATAATACCTGAAATATAAACACTAATAGAGTAATATGTTATATATATGCATGTATATATAATTGTAAACTAACGATTATGTTTGCATGGCAGTATAATCACAAATACTTACATGTACAATGCATACTAAATCTTACTCTATGTTTTATACATATCGTAAATGTTTGTATATATGGATGTTTGATTTGATAACTGGTGGTCAATTAATAATGGATAATTATATTGATGATGTTCCTTTTAGGTTTTAACCCATTAATTTTTTGATTATCTCTTCTTTTTTTTCCTATTAGATCCCAATGGATATTAAAAAGAAATTAGAAGAACCATTACGAAGAATGAGCTCGGAGTCAGGAAAATCAATGAAAGAAATGTCCATTTCATTAAAGAAAATGAGAAAATCATCATCTTCTGATATTCATGTCTTAAACTCACAATCTGCATGCAAAGATCTTTCTACTTTACTCAAATCAGGCATCTTGAACGATGTTGAGCCTCTACAAATGATCGCGTTAACTACCACTGTCTCTCTGCTCATAGATGTTGTTAACTTAACCGAAAAGATATCAGAATCCGTACATGAACTTGCTTCCGCTGCAAGATTCAAGAACAAGAAGAAGTCGACCGTATCATCCGAGAAGTCCGATAATGATGACCATATTGTCACAATCTTATGTGATGCTGATAAATCAAACACTGTCACAAACAAGAGTTCAGTGGACTCTTCTCACCATGTCACCATAATGATTGATGATGAGGATGATTCAGTCCATGGAGGTGGTGAAATACATGTACATCCGAGTTGTGTATCATGTGGTCAGACTAATCGTGATAGTTATGTTTTAGATAGTGGTAATAAGAGCATTAGTAATAACTAACTATTTATTATAGAAGACTAATCGTTAATATTACTTATTAAATAACGTTCTTTTAAACAAGAGTGTGTTTTAGATTTACCCTAACTAGACCATGGTTTTTGTTCTCTACTTGTTTCAGCTAAGTTTCAGTAAAAGGAAAATGTGCCTCTTAATTCATGTATCTTGATACCTCGATTAAATAGGTGTAATATATATTGTGAAATCGAACCAATAAAAATAAATCATGATTTATCATAAACTATATAACATGTATCTGTCATTCAACTTTTAAAATTAATGAAGAGCAGAGTTGATTCTGCACAACCCAGTAAACATTTGCTTTGATCCCTTTATTTTTTTATGGAAAATAATATAGCCGTAAACCTCCGAATTGCAAAAACAAATTTTGTTAAAATCTTCTGTACATGGGTTAGTGACTTTCAATATCTCAGGGCTAACCACAAATTCATACTTTCTTGAGTTATTGCGCGCAAGTCAAGTAATAGCAAAAGTGTTTCTATGTGGCCCTAATATGGCAGATACGAATATCCGTAAAGAAAAAGGTAGAATCCTTCTTACAATAGATTATGAATATTCTTAGCAAAAGAACAATAATATGCATTATGTTATTGTTTTTCAGGAATTGATTAATAACTGTTATTGCGATGTGTCATTATTAAACCCTAAGAAAAATTTAAAGGGGGGGGGGGGGGGGCGGACATGTCCTAGTAAGCTCACGGGCTCGTGCTCGTTTGTCTATTGCCTTTTTTAATTATTTTCCAACTTCTTTTTCAAACCTCTCGAGCAAAATGGCGGGCAAGTTAAAGTGGAGAGTAAGTTAATAAGTATTAGGTTTTTGTCTCCATTATTAAACTTCACTTCTTTTTTAAACTTTGGTTTTTTATATGAAGATCCATCAACCATTGGATCCATGTAGATTCCAAAGATACATGATTTCTGTTTACACCTATCTATTTTTATTATTACACTGAACTTGAAAAATAGTTTCAACAATACCACACCCAAAATTCAACTAAAATCCAAAATTAAAATAAATAAATCTAATGCAGTCATTTCATATTATAAAACACTTTAATAATGAGTCATGACTACTCGATTTACTTACCAAAAAGCTCTTCAGAGGCCTTGAGACTTTCTGCAATTAAATCTTATATCAATTGAATACTAATTCCATAGTTGATTAAGCAAAATATCTTTTTTTCTTTCTTATGAATGTTAAGGACGTTTTCAGATTAAACGAACAACTAAAGAATAAACAAAACAAAAAAAACCTTAGTGATATTAGACTTTAATGCGTATCGAGTCAATTGAATATCTTTTTCTACTTGCTAAAAGTCACCACTGATGTGATCTTACCCGTAGGTTTCAAGTTGGAAAAGATTTACACTTTTTAACATTTGTGCCCAACATACACGCGTTTTCAGTTTCCTTTTTGAGTTTTCTATACGTTTTCACTAAATACAGTAGAATTTTATAAATTAATATTTAATAATTCCTACGAATTAATAAATTTTATTGATTCTAACTTGGACTCGTAAATACTTATTCGCTTTGGAGACTCAGTAATAAAGAGATTTGGTGAGATCCCTTCCACTTTTGTTTGGTATATAATGATATCTCATCTTATTTACTTTGTTTCTCCTAATCGTATCATCATGAATTTTTCAAATTTAACAGTGTTATAAATTTTTTTTTGAACCGGTGTAAAATATGACACCAATCGATAAAATAATAAAATAATAATATTTTTAAAACTCTCATATAAATATTAGCCCATTAAAATCATAAATTAATAATTTGGATATATATTATTGATTTTATATTCACAATGAAAATACTTCTATTTTTGTTAACATTTCAATATATTTTGATAATATTCCGTAAAATTATATGGAAAACCAAAAAAAATTCTATAAAACATAAAAAAATACACCAATCCGGTCTGGTCCATTTTTATCGGACCCTTAAGGCCTTTTTTTCTTCATAGCTAAGCCTTTGTCATCCACGGCCTTTTCTATTGGGATCCATTGACAGGTAACAGTGCCAAATAGATTAAGGGTGTGATTAGAAAGAAGGTTCAAGCTTAGAGGCGACGTACACTCAAGAGGTTTCTGAATATCCCAAAAACAGGCAACAGTTTACATGCCAAAATAGATTTACCTGAAAATGAATATTTAAGGGTTATATTTTAACCCCAAAAGGTTACAGATTACAATCACACAAGACAGCCAAATAGATTCCCAATGCTCTCCACATATCTTTTATTCCAATGCTTGCTTTCTTTGGTTTGTCATTTGCTGAAACGTCCCAGTACTGCACCTTACAACTCGTCCTACACAAAGATCAGACTCATATAAATTTTAACCAATTTTCACAACAATTAAAGACCTTTCATGGATGAAATAGAAAACTCCACTTACATGATAATCATCCATGTAATCACGTGGATTAGGCTGCAAAAAAAAAAAAAAAACAAATCACCACTTCCAACATATTCAAAACTCACTTTCTTTCCAGAGATAACTAGAGAGTTTGATGAATGTGTACGTACCCTTTTGTAACGTCTTCTCCTGTCTCCATACCGGTGGTCCCTCTCCTTCCTTCTACGTTCTCCTTCTTCTCTTGCTTTCCGAGACTCCTGTATGGCCATGATGGTGATTAAAGTCTAAAGATAACACATAGAAGATCTGATAAAGAACAAGAACTTGATTTGTAAGAAAAACGAACCTCCTCTTCTCTAGCTTTTTTTTCTTTCTCAGCTTCCGCAAATAACTCCTTCTCAGACTGTTGATTAAATAAAAATTAAGACATTTTCTATACAAAACAACAGAGAAGCAAAAAGATATCCAAAGGCTTGGAGTAATCTTACCTCTCTGTGCTGTTCAAAATAGTCATCCACCATGCTTCTTGCATATTGTGGGTCATCGGTGATCAAGATATTGTCAAATATTGAGCCAGCCTTCACCTGCAGATTAACACCAATCTCTCAATCCAGCTGCACTAATATGAACTTCTTCTAAAATGATTGATTTTTTATCTTATCTTTCCAGATTCTTTTTGTTTTGTGTTCTACACTACAAAGTTGCATGGTCTATACACTACAAAGAAAGATCTTGAACTTACTTGCCATACTTCAATGCCTACATATTTTATAGGCTTCAGAACATAAAGATCTGGATCATCTTCAAACTCTGTAAGGCAAAAAAAAAAAACAAGAAACTCAAGCTTAGTATCAACAAGATGTAATCAAAGCCCAAATAACTCATTTCAAAAACATGCCTGGATTATCTATCCATGGGTTCTTCCATTTTCCCTTGTAGTTCGGGTTCTTAATTTTCTGTAAGAAAATATAGTGTTCCTGATCAAATGGTGCAGAAACATAACCATTGATGGATGGCTGTTAGATCAATTACCTTTGCTTTCCAAGGACCTTTGTACGCTGGATTTGGGATCTTTGGAGCTTCCCAGGGACCATTTTCTTCCTCGTCCCAGTCCTCAGGCTAATAACAAGGAAAGAGATATAAAAGCTTAACAACACTATCACAAACCAATGAGTTCCCCAAAAACTAAGGATACTACTACTAAAATGCAATCACTCCAAAGAGACCACCACTTTTAAGAGTACATACCTCTTCAGCTTTCTGATCTTTAATTTCACGAGGAATCGAATCATAACCCTGTTTACAAAAAAAAAGGAAGAACCAGTTGCCTGAATCAAGCTAAGAACTAACAGTATGAAAAACCTTCCTCTCAATACAAATAGTGCTACTAAACAAGTTACCTCGGGTTTGACATCTTCAGGGTCATCAATATATTCTCTGTCATCCCAGTCCACTGGCTGCAAAGAGAAGTAGTAATCCGTTTTACTAATAGCTAAGCTAAGTGTAAAGGTAATCCATCTTGCTTAGCAATCCACATGACATTAAAGTAAAAACTGTTACCTTCTTTGCATTTTTAACTTTTATCTTCCTTGGAGGAAGGATATCCCAGTCTGTGTACATACTACCAAACTCTCTCTCTTTATTATCAACCAAAACGCTGTAAGAAGCATCAGGCCGGAGAATAAACGTGTAGAAATGATTTAATTTATCCGTTTCACATTGCAAATCCTTTTTAATCGGATAGTTCTGTCCCTGGTATGAAAGTATAACATGAAGCTTCTTCGTCTGCGTTCCACATATGTCCGGTCCAAACATTAAACTGCATACAAAAAAAAAGAAGAAGCACTGATCAAAATCTCCATACAGAACACCATAGTAAAAACATCTCAACGTAACTAAACCAAGGAAGCTTGACTAAGATTGCTATATATAACCTACAAGGAACTAAATGTTCACTAAAAAGAAGACATGAAGGGATAAGATTAACCTATAAGGAGTATCACCACCGAACTGCTTCTGGTTAACGTAGCCAGAGAGGAGCTTGATGTAAGCGCCACCACATTCAATGTCTTGTTCGATTTTAACAGAGTATTGGACAACAAGTGTCCTGTTCTTGTTGCTGAACTCAGGAATCTTTGCAGATATCGCATAATGCTTGGCATCATTATACGTCTGGATACCTAAAACACAAGAAAGAAACTCCCAAGTCAACTACAAAGATCAAACGCCAATACACTAAGAGAACACCAAACATATCTAAAAACTAAATCACTGAAGCAGAGAGATTCTATCTCTGTCTGATTCTTCAGACCCAAGTAGTTAAGAAATTTAAAAGGGTAGAAGAAAGGAAGAACCTTTATTGTCAGGATCGCCGGGCCATTTACCGGCGGTGTGCTTAAAGGTACCAGCTTTGCCTTCGTTTCTCTTCCAATCAGATAAGACCCACCTGCTTTTCCATCCACCTGTAACGAATCTTACTATGTTAATAACAGAAAAATCTATAAATAGAAAGCCAGAAAAAAAAAAAACAGAGGAAAGAGTGTTTCACCTTCAAAATGCTCTTCAAAGAAGATCTCAGAGAAAGCCAAAGGAGTAAGAGTGAGAAGAGAGAAGAGGAACAGACACAAAGACTTGAGCTTGTTTTGGGTTAATCCCATGTTATCAGACTCTCTCTCTAACACTTGCTTATTGACATAAGCTGGGGGAAAATTCCTTATAACAAAGATGAGTGAAGTTGACTCTGAGTCGTTTGGTGTAATTACGATACTACCCTGGTTCTGGATTCTTCTTTCTCCTTTCGTCTTCTGAAAAGTCTTGTTTTTTTTGTGTTTTAGCAAGTCGTCGCATGGTGGAAATGTTCAAAGTTTCGTTTCTTCTGCGTAGGAAATGGGCCAACAATGGTCCCAGTTCGTTAAATGCTATGTTTGTTTCATGCATTAACCTTTTCTCTCGCCATTACTATGCTATCTCCTTATTGGGCTTGGTACTCATTTACAGCACAGATGTTATTGGCCCAAATATAGATGGATTGGGCCTTTTCGGGCTTTACTATGTATATATCCTCCACATTATCTTTGTTTCCCGTCTCTCAGATTTGTTAGGAAGATTACTTGATTTTTTATTTTCCACTATAAGGAAATTAAGATAATAGAAAAAATATTATAGAGATTAATATTTTGTTTGACAAACATTTTTCTGAGTAAAATATAGAAAATATTAATTATCCTGTAAATCAATTATTTTATTATACATCTATACATATCTTTTTAATTTTTTTGGAATACATTGTGTAATTTTATTAAAATAATTAATAGTGGAGGAGATTGTTCATAATGGATCGCTTGAAAAACAAGTAAGAAAAGAAAAATCTCACATTGTCATTTTTATGATGTCATATTCTATTCAAAGCCACCTTCATTTGGTGAAATGACACATAAATCGTCAAAAGGGTTTTACCGATCCAAATATACATGTATTCTCGTTGACTTGCATATCTTTCACTAACTATGACTCTCATGATGTCATATACTTACAGTACAGACACTTTCATTTCGCGAATGTTTACATCAATCAATCAAGAAAAAGCCTAACAATTACACATTCTTTGCCTTGCATATCTTTCACAAACAACAACCATTGATCAAATAAGTGTTATATGCATATCTAATAATAAAAACAAGGGGTTTAATTAATATTTGTATTATTCGATCCGTGTTGCGAATACGCGGCACAGTTCCAATATAGAAAAGTATAGTAAAATAAAGAACATTGTAGTATAGTCCCCACTTGTCGCTCTTCCTCCCCAAACAAACCCCATTAGTCTTTTCAGATTTTTTGTATCTTTCCTCCACACATCTTTCTTTCTCTCTATCCTTCTTCCTCTCTTCTTAGCTTGCTTTTTCTTTAATAATATATTCTTCCAAGATCAAATAGTTCCTTCTTTGATCTTATCTCATTGGCATAAGCTAGGAGTTGCATATTACTCAAACAAGAAGAGATATATATCATTGAAGAGAAGCCACATAATCATTTATAATGTCTTTAGATTTATCATCTGATCGTGTTTGCTATGTCCACTGCAACTTCTGCACCACGATTTTAGCGGTAATCTCTCTCTCTCTTTCCCTATCTCTTTACATTAGAAATGAAAATCTTAGTGCTCGGTATAATTAACTCAGAGCTAGATCTCATTTCTTTAACATATTATCTTTCTATCGAATACTTAATTGGTGGTAAATATCTATGATGAGTTTGCATCTAGGTCATGAATCAAAGTACTTTTTTCTCTAATTATTGATGAAGATATATATGGGGGAAGTTTCTTGATTTGAGAAAATATAAGAAACCCTAGATTTTTATTTTACCTTTTTTTAATTCTTTTGTGGAGATGACTCTCTCGAACGGTGATGAGATTATACCCAAAAGAAACAAAAGAAATTTGGTAACTAAACCATAGATTCTAGTGCTCAAACAAAGTAATCTCAAAGGAAACAGATTCTGGTCAAATTTAGGGCTCTATGTGTAGTCTACAAATTTCACAAATTTTTAATGTTTTTGTCATTTCCAGACAATTTTTTCTTTGTTGTTCAAGTAAATCTTTCATTTTCTTAAACATTCCCTCGGTTCCAAACGCCATTAATATTTCCTGTAAGAGGAATTGGTAGATAAGGCGTTAATGCCTGCATCCATGTGATACAGGCTCAAAAACTTTCACTAATTAAGTTTTCAAGCTTTATAGTCTGACTTTCATTCTATCATTTGATATATATAACTGTAGTATGTGGCACAGGTATGCATATATATCATATCAGTCATAGATCTTTAATTTACAAAGCGTGGTCCATGTAAAAATGTTTACATCACATCACCAGCTGATAATTCTAAAAAAAAATCATATTTTTGGTTCCCCAAAGTTTCCTTTTTTCTACAGTGAAATGAAGATTATTTATTATCATATCTATATAATTTTATTTTTATTTAAATTTCACCATTTTCAGCTTTGTAGACTGGCTTGATATTGTTTACTATTTAACGGTTTATGTGACTATATAATATACATACATTTGTGTGTACACATATATCTAAATATACATGTATCATACAAAATATTAATATATGATAGATAAACTACCAGGTAAACTGACTAGGACATGTCGTCAGGTACATTGTGTATACTTTATTGTAGTGTTCTCCCAAATTTCCTAACTTGTATGTAATTAGCTCTGGCAGAGTGTGAATTAAAAAAGGTTAACAGATCATTTATAAATGTTAGCATGAGTCTGATTAGGGACAAAAATGGTCACATTATGTTTTTTAACAATGATGGTCGCCCTTGCACAAAATAGGGTTGGTATTGTAGTGGAAAGTACAAAGGATTTGTTCTACCCAGTTCGAGCAACAATTTCTTGATCTATAAAAAAGCTGCAAACTGTTAAACCATGGCCGATCTTGACCACTTCGGATTGGATACATACACAGAAATAAAAGATGATTATAATATAAGATGGTACCATCACATATCGTGTTAAGGACTTTATGGGTTGTGGTTAAGGTCACGTCGTTTTCTAACATGACTGTCTTCTCCTTACAACCTTCATCAACCATTCTTCATCTCTTTACTATCTTTTATCATGTTGCCTTGAGGGTTGTGTGTCAGACATGTATATATATGTCATGAGAATCCACCATACATAAAAATACAAAATACACTATATAGATATAGATTCATGAACTACTCTTTACACACTGTTTTCCAATAGTTTTTTAAAATAAAATGAAAGTAGATGCATAACAATTTTGAATGTTTTGGATTAGAGGAAAAAGATAAAACTTGATAACACTTCTCTAAATAGTTATATATGTTTTGTTACATGTAAACAAACTATAGGAATATCTTTTAACGTATGAAAAAATAAATATTTATAAACACAAAAATGTTTAAATTTAAAGGGTACTATGTACACAGTTTATAATTTAAATACATTTTATGCATGGATGATTAATGAAACTATGTTGTGAAATAAACGCTAGAGATTCACCTTCAGTTGATCTATTATGAATTTTCTCTGACTAATCTATTTGTAAGTCAACAAAAAAGCATAATATTTGTTTTATTCTGGAAAATATTAGTTGCATATGTATTTTGTCAAATCAAGACACTGTTCTATAAGTAACAAAAACGCACAGTTCTACAGAATGGAATAGTTAGCATACACTATCTCAACCTCTCCTGTTAATTATTGTAAGCACAATATAGTTAAGTTCTACTACATTAGGGATTGGTCTAACCAGCCAATCGAATAATTGAATTGTGGTAAACAAGACAAATAATTTGTCCATATACATATATGATTAATTAAGAAGTCTTCCATATTAATATCTATGATCAGGTAAGTGTACCATACGCAAGTTTGTTCACACCTGTGACTGTGAGATGTGGCCATTGTACCAATTTGCTCTCTCTCAACCTAGGCGTTTCACTTCATCAAACCTCACCTACTCCTGTTCATCAAGATCCTCAGGTATCTTATAATTAATAATCATTTTAGGACTTCAACATTTTTGTTACCATGTCAGTTAAAAAAAAAACATTTTTGCTACATATCGAATTCTCGCTGATATTAGTCTTTCCAATCATGAATCAGCATAAGCAACACATAACCTCTTCGATAACAAGGAGAGAATATGGATCATCTTCTAGGAGCTCCAACCATTTTTCAACCACATTGTCAGAAAATGTCAATCGAGAGGCTCCTAGGATGCCTCCTATTCGTCGTTAGTTGCTCTTTATAACTCTCATATCTGAAAGATTAGTATCTGAAGTTTGTGACTAATACATATGCAATGAGTCCATAATTTTATTTTCATGGCAGCACCGGAGAAAAGACAACGCGTTCCTTCGGCCTACAACAGGTTTATTAAGTAAGTTTATCTTTTTTGAATTTTCTCATCTCCTTTGACTATTAATAACTCCCTTAATGTTAAATAGAGAGGAAATTCAAAGGATCAAGGCTGGCAATCCAGAGATCAGCCACCGCGAGGCGTTTAGCACAGCTGCTAAAAATGTAAGCTTCATTTTTTATCTTTCTTTCACAAATATATGAACTAAATATCATTCCAGAGGTAGCTCCAAATAAAATTATTTATAGTAAAAAAAAAACTATAATGAAGATATAAAACAGTTTTTTTTATTTCTAATGAAAAGTATACTAAAATGTAAGTCCTTACACTTTTAAAAAACATCTTTTACATAAGTAGTTTTTAAAAGCCTACAAATCTCTATTTTCTAATAGGTACTACAGATGCCATAACTTATAAAAATAGAAAATCCTAGGGTTTGATCTATTTTTCTAATGTGAGATAGATGATTTCTAAATATATATATATATATATATATATATATACATATACCAACAAGATAGTGGATTATACTTTGCGCAATTGGTGGGATGTTTATTACAGTATATTTTAAAATTTTAGTTTTGCTTGTGTGAGTGTGTAGTGGGCACATTTTCCTCACATTCACTTTGGATTAAAGCTGGATGGCAACAAGAAGGGCAAGCAATTAGAGAAGACTGTTGCAGGACAAAAGTCTAATGGATACTACTAAAGCCTTTACATATACATTGATAATGGCTATTATATGTATGTGTATGCTGAGAAGGCAAGGAGAAGAAGATCAAAATAACCTTACACACACTCACACATATATATACATATATGTATTTCCCTTTCCTTTTTCTTGCGTGGGCTCCATGGATAACTTCGTTTCTAGCTTATATTCTCCTAATAAGTGAACCCATAAATGGTTTTCACATTTGAAACTAATTAGTATTTATGAAGAATCCTTTGTGAAGACTGTTATATAAGTTTCATTTTTCCTAGTTCTGAAAAGGTGTAGCTCTTTGTGAGGTCACGAATTTTGAAAGATAAGTAGTTTATAGCAGCTGCAAATTCTACTAACATACGAGCTTAAAGGTGTGTGGAGTTACAGAACTATATCAATGTAACTTAATTAATGTATAGAATTTGAAAAAAAGAAAAGAATTTGAATGTAAGTATATCAATCTCTATAATATTATTTGAGAAGTCAGTTTCCTACGTGTCGCGCTCACGTTAACTCTCGCGATGGTTGATTACATAGATACCCTTAATGAACTATTAAATTTTAAGATTATTATTAATTTTTTTATTTAGTTTCCTTTTTACCTTTTTCCAAATAACATATATAATAAAAAAGAAATATTTTTAAAATTTTAAAACAAATTTAAAAACGAAAATATATGTATATAATATAACTTTATTAAAAAGGAAAGTTGACAAAATAGTAATACTCCCATTAATATATGTTTTAAATAACATAAAATATATTTTAAAAATAATAAAAATATATATGTTCATGACCATTCAAAAATTTATCAGTTACACTATTTTCTAATATTTTTAAGAAATCATCATATAATTTAATAAATATTATGAAAATAGATGTATATTTAAGCAATAAATAAAAAATAATTTGATTTAAATTAACTAAAATAAAGAGTAAATAAATATTATGAAAATACATGTATATTTAAGCGATAAATAAAAATAATTTGATTTGACTTAACTCAAATAAAAAGTAATTATACTTCAGTTTTAATTTAAAAATATATTTAACTCAATATGCTCAGAAAATGAATGACTCGACTAATCTACTTTATATCCAAAATTAAACATCTAACTACAATAAGAACATAAAATTTTAAATAATAATAATCTATTTAATTTTATACATATAAATTAGAGGTTGACTCAAAGCATATTAAAAAGAAAAATAAAATATTAACCAATTACAATTTAATTATTTTGTAGAATTTATATATATGCATGAGACAAAAGCATATTATTTATTTCATTTTAAGCACAATATATATTAAGTTATACATAATTTAACTATAATATATTTACATATCTAAGACATAACCAACCGAAATGAAAATAAGAAAATTAATCAATGTTTTATTATATTTAGAATAAAAAATAGTATAGCTAAATTCGAAAAATAGATATTATCCCATATACCAAATTGATAACCAAACCGACTATTGATCCAAAAAATAATTAAACCAACAATGATATATCTAAAGTCATATGTATAATTAGAATAATATAATATTTATTAATATAAATTATACATATAAATTTATTCAAAATTAAAACTAAAACTAAAATAGCAATTAATTATTATAAATTTACTTTTATGAATTTTCATATCCGTGCATGAGCACGGGAAAATCACCTAGTGTTTAAGTATACTGGAATATATGTGTATATATATACAAACCCATGTACAGTAGTAATGCCCATATACATAGAGTGGGTACGAAAAGATAAATTCCATCTTGGGATATGATATGGTGACTTTTATGGTGCTGATATAATTCTGAAAATCACTCATTCCAAAGAAACATTCTTTACGAAAAGTAAAGGCTCCCAGTGAACAGCTAAACTGGTTATTTTAACAGTTTAAAAAGAAAAAAAAATCATTGATGAGAAATCAATGCTCGTGTCTTCTTCATCATGTGTAGTCAAAACATAATAATTCATGTTAGCGTATCTAATTTTAAAAAATGGAATAATGTGTTTGAACGCTTTTAATCGCTTCTGAAATTCCATTCTAACCTGCATTAACAAAAAATTGTACCCTTTTTACTTTAATTTTGTGTAGATGTATCATTGTCAACTTTTGCTAAAAGGATGCGCCACTTTGGAAAAAAATGGACTCATAACATCATTCATATTATAATTTCAAAAAGAAAACATCGACCATGTTGCAATCACTATAGTTTCCATGTCGACATCAACTTGCTATTCAAAATTTTTTATTTTTGTTTTTTTGCTAACTTGTATTCAAATTTCAAGTATACGTATTAATTATAATTTCACTTTCTTTAGTCCAAAATGGACCCGAACTGTGCTTGTGGCTATGTTTAATGAAAGCCATCTCTCTCAACGAAGGTTAGAGATGTAGGGCCACGTTGTTCAGTGTGTGTAACAGTGTTAGAGACACTTACGTACACCTTCCATCGTCTCGTCCATGCACACAGATTTATGAAAGATAACTAAAATATATAAAAAACTTCGTATAATAAGATTATATAAATGGAGAAGAAAATAGTTATTTTAATGAATGATCCAAAAGAAAAACAGAATCTGAAACGTCAAATCATGTTAGTTGGGGTCTTTGTATGTCTTTGGATGTTTGTGCCTCTGACGGGTCTTGTCCACACACTTTAATGTTTTCTTTTCTTTCTTCTTTTCTCACCGCATTTTTGCTTCATCATTATTATGTTTTTCTTTTCAACGACCATTTTGATTAGGGTTTTCGTTTCCTTGTTTTTCTACGATTACTCTTGTAACACCGAATCAGTTACTCTAATCATAATCTTCTTCTTTTTTGAAACTATACTCTTGTTATAATCTTTTTTTCTCTTCCATTGCATGCTTTGTTGAGAAAACCCTAATTACATAGGGATAAAATATCAAATCATAATGTTTGTTAACATAAAGTCTAAAAGTGTCTAATTTGTCCAAAAACACAATTAATTAATTTTAAAACTACAGTGTATCAACATTTTCAATTAATACTCTATAAATTAATACAAACTAAAAATCTCTATAAAATTATATAATTTTAAAATTCCAAACTAAATTTTTGGTTCAATTAATAATTTCTATAAATTAATAAAAAATTATAATTTTGGTGTTTTTCTAATATTATTAATTTATAAAAGTTTCAATGATATTGAAAAATATGATTTGTTATATGCAAGGCCTGGCCCATAAGCATAGTCAGAATCAGTAACGGTTTAGGGATCAAACAAATTATAAGATTCGAACTCGGCCCAACTACGGCCCAACTACTAAAGTAGTCGAAACTTTAGTTTAGTGAACACGTGTTTCGAATCTATTGGTTCGTCTACCGAACTGATTGTTTGAGCTGCGCAGAGGAGTGATTACTCGCCTCCCTCCGATTCCAATCAATCAGAAGAAAGAAAAAAAAATCGTTTTCAGGGAAAATCTATCTGAGAAAAGTGCGAAGAATCGAAAAGATGGGAGAATCGCGATCGTTTGTGGATGGATTCAAGGGATATTGGGAGGAGAGGTTATCATTCCTGGAGAATTACACGAGATTCACCAAACGTGACACGCCTCTTCCTTCTTGGTCTTCCTCCGACGTCGACGAGTTCATAGCCTCCGATCCCCTTCATGGACCCACCGTATGATTGATTTGTTGTTATCTAATCGATTTCGATCATTTTGATTCTTACTGATTGGTTTTCTCCCGTTTTGGCGTAGAGATTATGTTATGGTTAGGTTAGATCAGTGTCTCTTTTGATCTGTATGATTTTTTTTGATAAGTAGAGAGATCTGATATAGAATAGATAGGATCATAGGGGCTCACAGTGAAGAAGGAATAGAGTTAAAAAGATATTTGACGGTTAGAAGGAACTTGATGAAAGAGTAGGAGAGGTAAGAAAGAAGCTATAGGAAGAAGCAGAAGTTAATAGATAGTTACTAGAGCAGAATGTTGGATTTAAAGAGTGTTGGCTTCTTTATGATTAGAACTTTGAAGATATTTGACGGTTAGAACTTAGAGGAAACTTGATGAAAGAGGAGGAGAAGTAAGAAAGAAGCTATAGGAAGAAGCAGAAGTTAATAGATAGGAAGAAGCAGAATGGGGATTTGAAGAGTGTGGTGGATTCTATATGCTTCAACCCTTGATTCATGTTTCACATCTTGCTCAAATTTATTCCCTATATACGCATGTTTTTTTTTTGGGGTGTTTCTTACTCAAGATATAGACGTTTTGGTACTCAGAGAGGTGGACTTACGTTTTGTGTTCATTCTATTTCCAGCTGAAAACAGCTAGGGAAGCTGCGGCTTTTGGTGCTACGGGAGCTGCACTTGGAGCTGTATCTACTGCTGCTTTTGCCTGGAAATACTCCAGGAGTCCACATGGTAAAGACATTTTCTCTCTATTCTATGAATAACATTTTAATCTTAGACATAATGAACACCTTCTGGAGTGAGTTAAACGCTTGCAAAGTGTTGTGACATGGGGCTTACATGTTGGCAAATACTAAACTTTTTTGTTGTTTTTACTTTCTGAATGTGATACTAAACTTTAGTGTTTTGAACTATATGCGTAATTTCTCTTGGTAAGTCTGACACCTGTGTAACTGCTCTACTTGTACGACAGGTACTGCACTGTCCTTCTTAGGAGGAGGTCTTTTTGGTTGGACCTTTGGGCAAGAAGTCGCTAACCATACGATGCAACTGTATAAGTTGGACACAATGGCGGCTCAAGTTAAGTTCATGGAATGGTGGGAACGCAAGTCTCAAGGAAGGTTCTGAATCCAAAAATCAGAGAGACGGGTGCTACTTTCTCGGCCAAGATTGTCTTGCAAATAACATGAGATGGTTGGTAGCAGTTAAATCCATTTCCAGACTCTCTTTTGAACATTTCTTTATGTTTTTACTCTTGAAACATGTTTTGTTTTCCATGTCTCAATAATTAAACATGTCCCATGGAGAATGTTGAGTAGATGAATTGAAACAATTTCATTTGGATTTATAATATAAAGCTCACTCAGTGTTAAAATGACTTCGAGACTTGGAGCACCAACATTGTCATAGCCGAGGTGTCCCATCCCATACTGGTTTACTCTTATCTCAACATACAACATAAGTAGTACCTTTATGTTCTTACTCTTGAAACATATTTTGTTTTCCATGTCTCAATAATTCAACATGTCCCATGGAGAATGTTGAGTAGATGAATTGAAACAATCTCATTTGGATTTATAATATAAAGCTCACTCAGTGTTAAAATGATTTTTGAGAGTTGAAACACCAACATTGTCATAGTTGAGGTGTCCCATCCCATACTGGTTTACTCTTATCTCAACATACAACATAAGTAGTACCTTTATGTTCTTATTCTTGAAACATGTTTTGTTTTCCATGTCTCAATAATTCAACATGCCCCATGGAGAATGTTGAGTAGATGAATTGAAACAATCTCATTTGGATTTATAATATAAAACTCACTCAGTGTTAAAAATGACTTCTGAGACTTGAAGCACCAACATTGTCATAGCCGAAGTGTCCCATCCCATACTGGTTTACTCTTATCTCAACATACAACATAAGTAGTACTTTTATGTTCTTACTCTTGAAACATGTTTTGTTTTCCATGTCTCAATAATTCAACATGCCCTATGGAGAATGTTGAGTAGATGAATTGAAACAATCTCATTTAGATTTATAATATAAAGCTCACTCAGTGTTAAAATGACTTCTGAGACTTGAAGCACCAACATTGTCATAGCCGAGGTGTCCCATCCCATACTGGTTTACTCTTATATCTCAACATACAACATAAGTAGTACTTTTATGTTCTTACTCTTGAAACATGTTTTGTTTTCCATGTCTCAATAATTCAACATGCCCCATGGAGAATGTTGAGTAGATAAATTGAAACAATCTCATTTGGATTTATAATATAAAGCTCACTCAGTGTTAAAATGACTTCTGAGACTTGAAGCACCAACATTGTCATAGCCGAAGTGTCCCATCTCATACTGGTTTACTCTTATCTCAACATACAACATAAGTAGTACCTTTATGTTCTTACTCTTGAAACATGTTTTGTTTCTTATGTCTCAATAATTCAAAATGCCCCAAGGAGAATGTTGAGTAGATGAATTGAAACAATCTCATTTGGATTTATAATATAAAGTTCACTCAGTGTTAAAATGACTTCTGAGACTTGAAGCACCAACATTGTCATAGCCGAAGTGTCTCATCCCATACTGGTTTACTCTTATCTCAACATACAACATAAGTAGTACCTTTATGTTCTTACTCTTGAAACATGTTTTGTTTCCCATGTCTCAATAACTCAACATGCCCCATGGAGAATGTTGAGTAGATGAATTGAAACAATCTCATTTGGATTTATAATATAAAGCTCACTCAGTGTTAAAATGACTTCTGAGACTTGAAGCACCAACATTGTCATAGCCGAGGTGTCTCATCCCATACTGGTTTACTCTTATCTCAACATACAACATAAGTAGTACCTTTATGTTCTTATTCTTGAAACATGTTTTGTTTTCCATGTTTCAATAATTCAACATGTCCCATGGAGAATGTTGAGTAGATGAATTGAAACAATCTCATTTGGATTTATAATATAAAGCTCACTCAGTGTTAAAATGACTTTTGAGACTTGAAGCACCAACATTGTCATAGCCGAGGTATCCCATCCCATACTGGTTTACTCTTATATCTCAACATACAACATAAGTAGTACCTTTACCTTCTACGCCTCAGTGAATGATATCATATGGCATACCTCCTTGATGCCTACATTGCTTTCTCATTAGAGTATCATATGTCATACTTCCTTGATTAACGACCTTGTGTTATGCTCAACACAAACCGGTTCAATTAGACAATTACCGGTTTAACCGACCAAATCCTCTTGGACTTTGTTAAAGTAAAAACATTGTCGAGTTACCGATTTATTATGAAATTATTATTTTGAGAAAAAAGTACAATTGATAACTTTGTTTACTTTGTGAATTTATTTAATCTGACTGTACTATTCCAAGTTGCTTTAGCAAGATCCACACATATGATATGATTGATTTTACCTGCATTATGCTATATTGTTTCTGATATAGTCTTCAATCAAATCACTGGAATAAAAAAAAACATCGAATCTACGGGTTTATTAAAGTAAAAGCACACTACAAAACACGTTATCTAAGGATTCCATTTAGTAAGGCTGTAGAAACGACAATTGGCAGATGTAGGGAAGCCAAGACAGCAAACATAAGGTGAGAGATCACGTGGTGTGAAGGAAAAAGAGGCGTTGGTTTTTGATTGGACCAACCAATTGCATTGTTTTTTGTTCCTTCGTACACCCTAATAAACATCAAGACTTGTCCACATGCCAATGACCAGCTTATTACTTTTATGTACAGACTCATATTTATTTTCTAGCAAAGATAGATCAATCAAAGCAAAGCAAAGTAATCAAGAGAATAGGAAGAGAAAGAAGAGTTATGTCATGCAGTGTGGGATCTTCATCATATTGTTTTAATGTGTTACTACTCATCATGAGCCTTATGGTTCTGAGTTTTTCGGCTGATGCGTACAAGAACTACACTGTGGGTGAGTCCAAAGGATGGTTCAATATCCAGGGGAGACCCTCTGTAAATTATCGGAAATGGGCTGATTCCAAATCTTTTTCTTTGGGTGGTTTCCTCAGTAAGTTCGTAATTAACATATAATTCTAGTTTCATTTTTGAAGTTTAAAAAACCATAGTAATCTAATAAAAACCAAGCATGTTTTTAAGATATCATAATGTTAAGAAAATGTAGTTTCTGACTTTTAGACATAGAAAAATGCATATTTTGGCAAAATGTGTAGTTTACAACTTTCAATTGAAGAAAAAAAAATTTTCAATTGATTCTGTTGTCTTTGGTTGTTCAAATGTAGTATTCAACACAGATAGCAACCATTCAGTGGTGCAAACATATGACTACAAAACATACAAATTATGTGATTACAACAACAATGAAGACAATAGTACAAGAGAATGGTCAGCTGCAAAACCTTCAGCAACATCTCCAGTTCCGGTCTCAGTGAAAGTTCCTCTTGTGAAAGAAGATTCAAATGATTTCTTCTCAGGAAACTATGATGGTGAACAATGCAAATTTGGACAACATTTCATGATAAATGTAACACATGGTCAAGGCCTACCAGCTCTATCATCACCAGATGAAGATGATGAGACGGCTCCTGGACCAGGACAATCCTCTCAATCAGGTGGTGATGATGAAGTTGCTCCTGATACTATAGTTCCCGCCAATTTTGACAATCCTAAAGATATTGAGAGTGATGATGATGATAGTTTGGTTAAGGGTCGTAAAAGTTCTTCTTCCATAACAAAATATAATTGGTTATGTTTAGTTTTTATTGGATTCTTGCCATCATTTTTTTAATCAATTCACCTTCGGTTTTGTTGACTACAGGTTTTGTATGTGTAATATAAAATCATTATGTTTCTTGGAGTTATAATAATACTTATGAAATTATATACATAGAATATGTGTTTCTGGAGGTGTAATATTAATTATCTATTGTACTTTTTTTAATCAGTTACAATGAAATGATTTAGTATTTATTTTTTAGTAAATTATTCATAATCTAATAAATTAAGTACAAGTTAGCTACTGATTTTTGTAATTATCCTCATGACTTCAAATCTTGAAAAGTCAAGATAGAGTGGAGTTTTAATATTATATTGAGTTGGATAATAATTGAGAAACAACTCAAGAGGAAAATAGACCCAAAAAGAAGTCAAGAGGAGAAGACATTCCCCTAGCTATAATATTGAGTTAGAGTGTATGAGAATGTTTCAAGCTTATGTTTCAAGTTCATCTAACTTGAAGTCCAGCTACTCTAATGAAAGTCGATCAAAACCACTTACTAGCAGCAAATAAAATTTGAAGTAAGACTAATTTTTTATTGCATCCAATGATATGATGCATTTGCATGTTATATTCTTCTCTTCCTCGTCTCTTTCCCTCTAAAACCCTCTTCTCGTCTACCTTTATGGCTTTAGCTTTTAAACTTTACTTTCCAGATTAATGTTGCTTTATAGCTTTCTTCTTTGTGGTTTGTGATAATGATTGTGTTAGTAGCCGTTGAATAATTTGACAGAGTACAAGCATGATGACAATCTCACAAGTCACAAAAACATGGTTCACGTGTTTGTTTAGTTGGAACAGCTACAAAACTCAAGAAAGTTAATTGCCTTGTCTGGTCATTGCACATGTAAATACATCGATAATAATAATAACATAATCGTAATGTGAGACAACACCCATGTATCATAACAAAATCAAAGAAATAAATAGAAAAATTAAATAAATATAATGTAAAGAAAAATAAAACCAAAAATAAGAAGAAATATACAAAGGTGGTGGTTGCAGCAAGCAGGTAGCAGGTATAAGTTTACAGAGGAAACAAAGCACCCATGTACACTTTTTTTTTCTTTTTTTTACGATGAAGTGTCCCAAGTTGTTGTTGGTGTTTTGGAACTCCACACTGTTCGTCCTTTCACCACTTCAGCTCCATCCTGGAGACGAAGCAAATGCTGACATTCCACTTCACCAGCCATCCCAAGATTACCAATATCACACCCTGAAACCGCGGTGAGAGACTGAAGCACACTGTCTCTTCCACATTCTCTCCTATACTCGAGAGTCATGCTTTTCAGCTTATGCTTCTCCATCATCTCCACTGGAGCACTCTCCAGTATCCACCCGATGTACTTCACATTGTTAACGTGCTGGTTAACATCTAAGTCACTCCATCTCGGCTGCAAAAGTTAATCACCAAACTTATTAGAATCTCAAGGGGCTTGTTGAAAGATAAAGAGGGAGTATTTATGCTTACAGTGAGATCAGAGCGAACATAGTCAGCAGTTTTGTCGTCTAGTTTTGTTAACTTTCTGCTGTCCTCGGCAAGGATAGGGTCAGAGTTCACAAAGTAAGGCTCTATTTCCCCTCGAACCTCTTCAGGAAGCTTTGATAATCTCCTTGTCACTTTATTCATCATCACCCACACACTGCAAAATAGAATGTTTTGCATCACAGAGATGATTATAACTCAATAATCAGATAATAGCTTAAGCAAAACAAAAAGAAGCTAACCTTGATGCTCGAGTTAAAATTTCTCCAGTATTACAATCCCGAACTAGCCAATCACGACGCATACCATTCTTTCCAGACTTACTAACCCATGTATCTACTTCAACAACATCTCCCCTGGTGAAGCAGACATTTGAATAAGCAAATGATTCATGCACACTATAAGGTTAAGTGCTAAGAGAGCTTACCAAGTAGGATATTTATCAATAACAACCTGCATACGAGTAACAACCCATATCAAGTTCTTCTTAACCATCTCAGGGGTAGAACCAAACCCATCTCCCAGCAGTCCAGCAGACTTCACATGGTTAAGAGCCGTTTCCTGTCATTAACATAATAGTTAGATCATGCATATCTATTAAATGTCTAGTGACAACATGTGGTTGTTAATCAATACCTGTAAGTGATTCATGACAGTTTCTATAGATGCAGAGCGATCAGCACCTATTTCATAAGACCTAATAGAGAAATTCTGACGAAACACAAGCCCATCCTGAACAATTCTCCCTAAACCAAACGGATCCATAATCATATCAGAACGTCTCGGTTTCCAGTCAAGCATCATCCACTGTTTCTCAGCTGCTAAGAACACAGTTGTTATAGCAGCAAGAAGCATGCTCCAGTCAGGTAGCTGGTTGATGAATGTTCTCGGTGCGTGTTGTGATGAGACATCGTAGTTATCAGTCTTAACGATATGTACTGAACCTGGCAAGGTAACTTTCTTGCCGTTGATCTTGGGTGGAGCCTGAGCGTTTGGTTTAACCTTCATCCTGCCAGAGCTTGGTGTTGGGCTGAGTCCAGAGAAGTTAGTGGAGGTGACTTTGTTGGTTTTGCCATTAGGGTCAGGAGAGGAAGATGGGAGAGGGAAGAATGAGGATGTAGCAGAGGTGGCCACCATGACGAGGAGATGAGCGTTCAAAATACACTGAAACCACACAAAGAAAAAAAAAAGAAGCTAAATTAGTGAATGATGTAATACAAAGGTTACATCTTTAAGCAATTGACATGATGAATATGCTCAATAATTAATTAATCAACTAAAGGAAACGGTAGAAAGCTTGAACACACATACACAAATAAAAAAAAAAGCTAAATCAGTGAGTGATGTAATTCAAAGGCAATATCTTTTAAGCAATTAGCATGATGGATATGCTTACAAATGAATTGATCAACAAACAAAACACTAGAAATCTTAAACACAGACACAAAGACATGATGAATATGCTCAATAATTAATTAATCAACTAAAGAAACAATAGAAATTTTGAACACACACACAAACAAACAAACAAAAGCTAAATCAGTGAATAATGTAATTCAAAGGCTACATCTTTAAGCAATTAGCATAACGGATATGCTTACAAATGAATTAATCAACAAACGAAACACTAGAAATCTTAAACACAATCACAAAGACTCAATTTTTTTTATTTTTTTTGGAAAATTGCGCAAATTCTTAGTTTTAATCATGTTCAGCCACTGTGCTTATCAGAGATTCAAGACAAGTTGCTAGAGGTTAAACGATGCAAAAATTACAAAATCGTAGCGGCAGAAAATATTTTTCACAACATTTGTCAGCTATTTCATTACCAAACACAGAATCGCTATTTCATTACCAAACACAGAAAAAAAAAACAGATCTGAAATTCAGACAACAAGGAACAGATGGTAGAAACAATTTTTATTAAAAAAAAAAAAAGGTAATTCGAATATTATTATTTCCATAACGCATTGAAAAAAAAATCAGATAACGAATCCGAACCCAGCGACGCAGAGATTTTTGAAGAACAAAACAAAGCGAAAGAGAGAGAGAGAGAAAGATCGTACCACCTTCAGGTATAGAATGAAGGGTAACGCCAAATGTTCTCAAGAGTCTCCAAACCCTAAAAATTGTCTCCTTTCTTCGGCTGTGCCTCTCTGTCTCTCACGATCTCCTCTCTCTCAATTATTTTTAACTTTTTTTTTAGATTCTCAATTTTTTTCGGGAGAATATATTTTTAAAAATACAAAAGCGCGGAGAGAGAGAAAAGTGGGTGAGAGAAATGTGGAATAATGAGATGTCTTTTCGTTTCGTATGTATATATATATATTTTTTTTGAATTTGCCTCCTTCCTCCCTTATAGTTTTCAAAACAAGATTTCGTTTTCTCTACCTTTTTTTCTTGTTACAATATTGTTTACCTAATCAGGCAATTATATGTATATAGTAGTTTCACGTTTGTGGCTAAAACTCTTCTTACAAATTATAGCACGCAAGAGTTGATTGTTTGCTTGCTTACTTGGAATTGTCCATCCATTTTTGGATTTTTGAATTTTCTCGCATGTGAGAGAATTTTGCTAATCACATCTTTGTGGAGAAAGTGACACTTGTCAGACTTGTACGTTTGTTTTAGTAGAGATTTGTCAATGTTGGCACCGAACGACGTTTTGTAATAATAATAATGATAAGAGTGGGCACGCACAAGAGACAACTACAACAACAAAGGTGCATCATCATGTGCATGCATCAATACCTTCCTTTCTTACTTGTGAATTTGTTAAAAAATACACACAATAACCTAACATTGAGCAATGTTTTGAGTTTTTTTCCGTTTAAACCATATACAATTTTGTTAAATCATCAATCCCTTTTCTATTTTTAACCTATATATGGACTCCAATGATGGATCAGGCTAATTATTGGTAACAAGGATGTCTTCCTCATCATATATATAAAGATTCTAGTGATGAATACGGTTGCAGTTGGGGTTACTTTTTTTTTTTACCAAAGGCTAATTAATTAAGAAGAGATACAATCACCAAAAATATGCAACAAATAGATAGATTCACCAAAATATGTAACCAGTAACAAAGAGATGCAAACACCAACAACTAAGAAAAAAAAACTGATATAAAAACACGTAGGGCAAAAGAAATTAAAACAGCAAACACGTAGGGCAAGAAACACTTGCGACTGGCCCTGGATACAGACATACAGTTATGTTATATGATGTTAATTAGTTTATCCGTTCATATGCAAGTTAGCAAAAGAAAAACAATAAACACCAAATTTTTGTTTGTTTGATTAAAAAGATATAAAGAATTGTGGTCATCTCTACCTTCTTTCCCTGGTGCTCTTCTTATATTCTCGTGCTTTACCTTCTTTGCCACTGTTCTCACTAAATTATTCTAACTGTAGACGTTTTTTTGGAGACCGTAGTCTCATGAACTATCCTCCACATTTGCGAATGCCCATGTCACTCACTGTTTAGAAAAATGCTTTGCATTTTTGGATATTTGTGATATTGAATAGAAATTTGTGAACACTTTGTTAGTGGATATAGTTTTGTAAAATGCTAAATTGGTAAGTTAAATACCATAATGTTAAAATTTTACTAGAGAATCAACTATATAATGATCCCCTGTCAATTGGGCCTACATTGAAGGTTTAATAACCAACTAAATGGGCCACTTTAAGGCCCAAACAACTATTAAAGTTTAATGAACAAAGGGAAGCAGAGTCAACCCTTTGACAAGCTTATTATCCATTCCTCGTCTTCATCCCCATCACCAGTTTTCTCACACCTTCCTCTCTCTCTCTCTCTCTCTCTCTCTCTCTCTCTCTCTCTCTCTCTCTCTCTCTGCATTCTCTTAACCGGCCTTCAATGATCAGACATAGCTTCCGAGTTTAGCCGGAAAAGAGCATGTCTTCTTGTCTTCTTCCTCAGTTCAAGTGCCCACCTGATCCTTTCTCTATTCATTTCAAAACATCTCACTCTGTTTGTAAGTATTCTCAATCTTTCCAGAATCTTAGAAAGACTTGACTTGGAAGCTGTAAGGTTTAGTCTCTATAGTTCTGATTGCATTAAGCTCCCTTTATGTCTGAACATTAGCCAATTCTAATCTCTAGTTGATAGGATTATAGAATCTAAACTTGTGTGGTTTACAGTTATAGATCACAAAACGACCACGTTTTAAGGATATTTGTTAATGTTATCATCTTTAAATCAATGTGAGACATATGTTGGAACATGCAGCAAAACAGAACAAGGGTTCTGTCTTCTTCCAACCGCAATGTGCAGTATCCACTTCACCGCCCTTATTAACTTCTGTTCTTGATGTGACCAAGCTTAGACTACCCTCTTTCGATACTGATTCAAACTCCCTTGTATCAGACAGACAATGGACTTGTACAGGAACCGTTGAGGTCATTATATTACCATCTCTCTCACATCTAATTATGGTTTGCCAAGATTATTGATAACTTATTTTGTATTTCTAGGCAAAGTATTTAGAAGCTGAGACACTTCTCACAAGTGATGAAGCAGAAGTTGCAGCAGCAGCAGCTGAAGCAGTGGCTCTTGCTAGAGCTGCTGTCAAAGTTGCGAAAGATGCTACATTGTTTAAAAACAGTCACAACGCCAAACCATTCGTTTCATCAACGGGAGAGAAACGCTCAAAGTGGGATCAGTTTACAGAGAAGGAACGTGCTGGCATAATGGGACATCTAGCGGTTTCAGACACTGGAGTTGTGAGTGATAGAATCACTAAACCTGCTGCACCTGAGTGTAACAAAGAGTTGTCTGATGATTTAGAATCAGAAAAACAAGAAGTTCAGCCTCTGGAAGAGGAGGAGCTTTCAGTGAGTTCAGCTGTGAGATCTACACGCCAAACTGAAAGGAAAGCTCGGAGGGCAAAAGGGCTAGAGAAAACTGCATCGTGTATGCAGTCTGTTAAGACTAGTTCGAGCTCTAAAAAGAAACGTGTTCCTTCACAAGAGATTGACCATAATGATCCTTTGCGTTATCTAAGAATGACAACAAGCAGTTCTAAGCTTCTCACTGCCAGAGAAGAAACAGAGCTCTCTGAAGGAATACAGGTTCTAAACTAGCCACTTCCCTTTCTACACATGGCTCCTAATAGGCATATTAATATAATAATATCACCCTTCTTAGGTTTCTAGATTCTAGTGGAAAACAATGTTTGGAACATCTTTAAAAAAAATGTTTGGGAGTGTGATGAAACATTGTTTTTTCTTCTGTGTAATTCTTCTTATCTTCTTTATTGTGGTTTCTTGATCACTAACTTTTGAGGTCTGTCATTTATAGGACCTTCTGAAGCTGGAAAGGCTTCAAGTAGAGCTGACTGAGCGTTGTGGACATCAGCCAACCTTTGGACAATGGGCTTCAGCTGCTGGAGTTGATCAAAAGACTTTAAGGAAACGTATAAATCATGGCACACAATGCAAGGACAGAATGATTAAAAGCAACATTCGTCTCGTCATTTCCATTGCCAAGAACTATCAAGGAGCTGGGATGAATCTCCAAGATCTTGTCCAGGTTCTAGTTCTTAGCTCCTTATCTTTTGTAGTAACTACATCAGTCCTGAGTAAAGTCACAAATAGAGAAAAATGCTCACAGGAAGGATGCAGAGGGCTTGTGAGGGGAGCAGAGAAGTTTGATGCCACAAAGGGTTTTAAATTTTCAACTTATGCACATTGGTGGATCAAGCAAGCAGTTCGGAAGTCTCTCTCTGATCAGTCTAGGATGATAAGATTGCCTGTAAGTCTCATCCCAAATGTTTTAAAGTCGTTTGACATGTCTAAGCTTTTGTCTGATCATACAATTTGGCAGTTTCACATGGTGGAAGCAACATACCGAGTGAAAGAGGCAAGAAAGCAACTATACAGTGAAACAGGTCAGCAACCAAAGAATGAAGAAGTTGCAGAGGCGACAGGACTATCAATGAAACGGCTCATGACGGTTCTACTATCTCCTAAGCCTCCAAGGTCGCTAGACCAGAAGATCGGAATCAATCTAAACCTCAAACCTTCGGTTTGTCCTCCTGAACATAACACACTCCATGCATAGTTTATTTCATAATAGTAAAATGGGTTTGTGAATGCAGGAAGTGATATCAGATCCTGAAGCAGAAACTTCAGAGGATATACTAATAAAGCAGTTCATGAGGGAGGACTTAGACAAAGTGTTGGACTCGTTGAGTACAAGGGAGAAGCAAGTGATACGTTGGAGATTTGGGATGGAAGATGGGAGGATGAAGACGTTGCAAGAGATAGGCGAGACAATGGGTGTGAGCCGTGAGAGAGTAAGACAGATCGAATCCTCTGCTTTCAGGAAACTCAAGAACAAGAAGAGAAGCAACCATTTACAGCAATACTTGGTTGCACAATAACTTTAACCATTTTCTGATTAATGTTTTGTGCATAGAACCATTCATTATTGCATAATAGTTTGATACACAAAACACAAAAGCAAGGATTAAGACATCCTTTTAGGCAGTAAAACAAACACTAACTATGCCTCGAGAAGATATGAAAATGGTAATGATGGGGATACACAAACACAAAGCAAGGATTAAGACATCCTTTTAGGCTCTAAAACAAACACTAACTCATGTCTCAAGAAGAGATGAAACTGGTAATTATGGGGATGACAACAATAGGGCTGGGTTGCGGGTCAAACCCGCCCCGCTGACCCGCCAACCCGCGGATTTTAGTTATTTTTTTTGTTAAAAAATCCGACCCGCACAACCCGCGACCGTATAAATTTTCACCCGCACCCGCCCCGCTTAATTTTGCGGGTAACCCGCGGGACCCGCGGGTTATATATCTTTAAAAAAAAATTATTATTTAATTTATTTTTTATGAAAAAGTAATAAAAATAATATATTTATAAAAAAATTATATATATTCAAAATTTTTAACTATTATTTAAAAAAAAATACCGTAATTTTTTAAAAAATATATTTATTTTTCCAAAAAAATACTATTTTCTAAAAAAAAAACACAATTTAAAAAAAAAAATGAAAATTTTTTTTTTTTGCGGGTTGGCGGGTACCCGCGATTAAAAATTCACCAACCCGCACCCGCCCCGCATAAAATATTCAAAACCCGCATCCGCACCTGCCAATCGATTTTTTCAAATTGTTCAACCCGCACCCGCCCCGCAGCGGATCAAACGGGGCGGGACCCGCGGGTGATCACTCATATTCCCAGCTCTAGACAACAAGAATGATCAAAAGCAACACACCATTTCCTCCTACTTCTCTTATGATTCTCATTCATCACAATCAATATTGCATAATAGTTTGGATACACAAAACACAAAATAAAATGCTCTACTTAATTTAAAAATGTTTATTTAATACATATTATATAGTTGATTTTTTTCTTAAAGGATAATTGTTTAAACTCACATTTTCAATATGATTTCACATATTATTTTTGTAAATCTTCACAGTCATTTCTGCTTCTTAAACCAACTTTTTGTTTTCTTAAGAAAATCAAAATATCATAATTTGATCAACTGAAATTGAACACTAGAGCCAGAGATTCAGGATATAATTTGTTGTGTGGTGTATATTCATAGATTTGAACTCATGAAACATCGTTTTCGTGGTTATAGATTTCTAGTTTAGGACAAAAAAACACATTCAAAAGTAAAACCAAAGTGAAAGAAATTGGAAAGCTCTTAGCACATGGACTCCAGCTTCATCTTACCTCTCTCTAAATTATGGAAATTATGATCTCATCATGATAGTACATATTAATAATGCCATGTAACCTATCAATCTATCATATCATGTTTAGGATTGTTGTTATTCCTTTCGGTATTTTTCATATTTTAAAAATGTCATTATGATAAAATGGCCCATATGGGTGCATGTGAAGTGCTAAAGTGCATAATATAAAGTTAGGTCTGTCAATTATTTTTCTTCTTAGAATAATAGAGGACGTTGGTTTGGGTGAAATCCAAAATGTAATTTTTAAAGTTGCTTTATACAGAATTATAATACATAAAATGCTATAAATGAAAATATTATTTTCTTTACATTTTAAAAATAGCATTTTACTATATAAAATACATTGAAACGAAATTCTTAATTTTAAATATTTTATTTTAGTGTAGAAGTGGTTGAAGATGGTCTTAGATCAGTTATGTTAAATATATTATCCTAACGTTAGTATGATGCATTCATTGAACGGTTATAGGAATACAATTTTGAAATACTCATCTTTAAAGATCTCGGATTTGATCATTTCCGTTTTCTCCATTTAGCTCTGAATGCATAGTTGATCAAGCTCCTTAACCAGCAAGGCCGACATATGCAAATCCTGTATATGCATATATGATATACCTTAAACAACTTAGCTCAAACTAATAAATATACTTTTAGAAAATAAACCAAGATAAATTTCCCAAAACTTAAATCTAAGTAAGAAAATATAAAAATCTCTGATATGTACATGTTTGCAATAATTAAGTGCATGTCTGTATATACATGTACGAAAGTGTCATGGGACGTTCCTCTCTGCAACTTGGCAATGAACTTTCTTATTTGTCTTTAATTGTTCTTACAACATGGGAAGATTCTCTCAAGACTCTTTATGATAATATCATATCATGTGATTCTTTTAAGCGACGGCATTCGGAAAGTAAGAAAACATTCTCCCGGCTAATAAAGACATCCCATAACTCAGTAATAGATCTATTCAAAAGAAAGCATTGTATTGCAGTTATTAAACTGATTCTTGAAACAATCACATACCAGCTTCAAATATCCTAAAATAGTCCCACATATTGATAAAAGCATGTATTGCAGTTATCGAACTTACAGTAAATACATATCAAAACCTGTTCAGAAAACCATCAACAACGAATGAAATGAACAAGCAGCATGGCACATACAAAACGGACCATGTCTGATGTCTCTATACAAACTTTGCATTTACTAACACATTTAAGATGATCAATCTAGTTACTTTAAGTTTACATAGTTTATCAATATCTTAAACATTTTTTTTATTAATTTAGTTTTGACTGATCTATCAATCATCTCTGAGATGAAAGTAGCTAAAGTAGAGCACTAAGTGAGACACATTCTCTGGCCATGTTTCACTGTCCCACTAATCCCTAATGAGGACAAAGCTTTACAAGTCACTCAGTGTCTTATGATTAGCTGTTTATAAACCCAAGATCCCACGATCGTTATTTTAATCTCCTTTTATCAGCACTTTATTGTTTGATGTCTATACAGATCAGCTACACATAGATGTAAGAAATCGTATCATTTCTTTAACAAAGTCTAACCATTATACGTATTTTTTCCAAAGGAATTTGTATATTAATTCCACCGCTAGAAAAAAGAAACACAATCATGATAAAATAATTGAGAGAGATTAAAATAAAATAAGATTCTGACTAATCATTGTTTTCCAGCTTTTCGTTTCCACTCTCATGATATCAACTCTTCGCTTTGGACTTTTCAATCTCAGTTGCACCATTTGGCTTCCAAATGCCATAAACTCACCCCAAAAAAGAAAGTGAAGAGAAAATGACGATACCTCAACTTTTCTTCATCTTCTGTTACATTACTTTCTCTCTTGTTTTATCTGAAACATTTCAAGAACAAGAGATCTTGTTGGCCATCAAGTCAGACCTGTTTGATCCTTCTAACAATCTCCAAAACTGGAAGAGCCCTGAGAATGCTACTGAGTCTGTTCATTGTCACTGGACAGGAGTTCACTGCGATCCAAATGGCTCAGTGGCTAAGCTTCTTCTCCCCAACATGAATCTCAGTGGAAACATCTCAGATCAGATTCAGAGCTTCTCTTCTCTGCAAGTCCTTGATCTCAGCAACAATGCATTTGAGTGCTCTCTTCCTAAATCTCTTTCTAACCTCACTTCCTTGAAGATTTTGGACCTGAGTGTGAATAGCTTCTTTGGAACCTTCCCTTATGGTCTAGGAATGGCCACTGGTCTTACACACGTCAACGCCTCGAGCAACAATTTTTCTGGACTTCTCCCTGAAGATCTCGGCAACGCGACTACACTCGAGGTTTTGGACTTTCGTGGAGGTTACTTTGAAGGCTCTGTGCCTTCTTCTTTCAAGAATCTCAAGAAGCTGAAGTTTCTCGGTCTTTCTGGTAACAACTTAAGCGGAAAGTTACCAAAGGTGATCGGTGAGCTCTCTTCTTTGGAGACCATCATTCTTGGTTACAATGGCTTCACAGGTGAGATTCCAGAAGAGTTTGGGAAGCTGACGAATCTTCAGTACCTCGATTTAGCTGTTGGGAACCTAACGGGCCAGATTCCATCTTCTTTAGGACAGCTGAAACAGCTTACAACGGTTTATCTTTACCAGAACTTTCTCACAGGGAAGATTCCAAGAGAAGTTGGTAATATCAATTCTCTTGTGTTTCTTGATCTCTCTGATAACCAAATCACAGGGGATATACCTATGGAAGTAGCTGAGTTGAAGAATCTGCAGCTTCTGAATCTGATGAGGAATCAACTCACGGGAACCATTCCATCAAAGATTGCTGAATTACCAAACCTTGAGGTTCTCGAGCTGTGGCAAAACTCTCTGGTTGGTTCCTTACCTGTGGATCTCGGCAAGAGCTCGCCGTTGAAATGGTTAGACGTCTCATCAAACAAGCTAACAGGAGAAATCCCATCTGGATTATGCTATTCAAGAAACCTCACAAAGCTCATTCTCTTCAACAACTCATTCACAGGTCAGATTCCAGAGGACATCTTCTCATGTCCGACTTTGGTCCGTGTCCGAATCCAAAAAAATCTCATATCCGGACCAATCCCAGCTGGTTCAGGGGACTTACCAATGCTTCAACATCTAGAGCTAGCTCAAAACAACCTCACCGGTCAAGTTCCAGATGATATAACATCCTCTAAATCACTCTCATTCATAGACATATCCTTTAACCGTCTCTCATCCCTACCTTATTCCATTTTCTCAAGTCCCAATCTCCAAACCTTCATCGCCTCACATAACAGCTTTTGTGGAACCATACCTAACCAGATTCAAGACCGTCCATCTTTGTCTGTCCTCGATCTCTCCTTCAACCATTTCTCAGGCCAAATCCCAGTGAGGATTGCTTCCTTTGAGAAACTTGTGACCTTAAATCTCAAGAGCAACGAACTGGTAGGAGAAATCCCACAGGCCTTAACCGGGATGCACATGTTAGCTGTTCTCGACCTCTCAAACAACTCTCTAACCGGGAACATACCACAAGACTTGGGAGCTTCACCAACACTAGAGATGCTGAACGTGTCATTCAACAAACTCACAGGACCTGTCCCTTCAAACAATCTCTTTGCAGCCATAAACCCAAACGATCTCATCGGAAATCAAGGCTTATGCGGTGGTGTTTTACCTCCTTGCTCCAAGAGCCTAGCATTGTCAGCAAGAGAGAGAACCTCAGGGAGAATCCACATGCACCACGCAATCTTCGGATTCATCGTAGGAACAGCAGTCATCTTGTCTCTAGGAATAATGTTCTTAGCAGGGAGATGGGTATACAGAAGATGGGATCTCTACAGCAACTTCGCCAGAGAATACTTATTCTGCAAACAGCCACAAGAGGAATGGCCATGGAGACTCGTAGCCTTCCAAAGACTCTGCTTCACAGCAGGGGACATCTTATCACACATCAAAGAATCAAACATCATAGGAATGGGAGCCATGGGGATAGTCTACAAAGCAGAAGTCATGAGACGTCCACCACTCACAGTAGCCGTCAAAAAACTCTGGAGATCACCGTCACCACAAACCGACATCGAGAATCACCATCACCACCAACATCATACCCAAGAAGGTGAAGAAGAGGACGATATACTCAAGGAAGTAAACCTCCTCGGCGGTCTCCGCCACCGAAACATCGTCAAAATCCTCGGTTACATCCACAACGAGAAAGAAGTCATGATGGTCTACGACTACATGCCTAACGGCAACTTAGGCACAGCCCTACATTCAAAAAACGATGAATTCTTGTTAACTGATTGGCTATCACGATACAATGTAGCCGTTGGAGTCGTTCAAGGACTCAACTACCTACACAACGATTGCTACCCTCCGATCATCCACAGAGACATCAAATCAAACAACATATTACTAGACTCAAACCTAGAAGCTCGAATCGCCGATTTCGGATTAGCTAAAATGATGCTACACAAAAACGAGACCGTTTCGATGGTGGCGGGATCCTACGGTTACATAGCGCCAGAATACGGTTACACGCTCAAGATCGACGAGAAGAGCGATATATATAGTCTAGGAGTTGTGTTGCTCGAGTTAGTTACGGGGAAGATGCCGATCGATCCGTCGTTCGAGGAAGGGATCGATGTTGTGGAGTGGATAAGGAGGAAGGTGAAGAGGAGTGAGAGCTTGGAGGAAGTGCTTGATCCGAGTGTTGCTGGTGAGTGTAGGCATGTGATTGAGGAGATGCTTTTGGCGTTGAGGATCGCGCTTTTGTGTACGGCGAAGCTTCCGAAGGATAGGCCGTCGATTAGGGATGTGATGACGATGCTCGCGGAGGCGAAACCGAGGCGGAAGAGTGTGAGTCACGGTGGGGATTTGCCTGTTTTTAGAAACTCTCCGGTTGTTGGGTTGATTTAAGCGAGATGAGGCGGGAAGGGTGTTTTTGTCATTGCAAAGATTTTGGGCCCGTTTTATTTGATTGCTTCCTTTTTTTTACTGAACTATAGCCCATGTGAGGCCCGTTTGTTCAGTGGGAATTGTATTTACTGAGAAATTAATAAGAGACGAACGTTGTAAATAATAGGAACAATATTTTAAAATAGAGAAACATATCAACAAAATTTAAACTCAAAATTTGCCAAAAAAAAAAAGAAAAGAATATTAGTTTCATAGGTAAAATTTGACTTTGGAAAAGTATATATCAAAAACTATGCACAATAATTTTTTATTATCTAAACAAAGCTTCCAGAAAAATCGAGGAAAACATTTGTGTGGATATCTGGTAATGTCCACCACCACCCGTGATAAACAAAACCAAGTTATATTACTGAAATTGTTTTTAATGTTTTTTGGGATTTTTTGTATTTTAATTCGTCACCCCTATTGATGGTTATAGAGTGGATAGAAAATTGCATCTGCTTGCTTCTAAAGCGTTACTCCCTCAACTTATAAGACATCATCACACATCATACAGCAAAAAGTTAGGAAAATTCTATATCAAAAAGCCCAGCAAGCAAGCCACATGACTCTTTGTTTCCTCTCTGATATGATCTTAAATTGAAAACCAAAAAAAAGGTGATTAATATTAGTTGAGAAAATATCTCCTTGCTTTGTTCATATTGTTTCTTGAATTGATTTTAACAGATCACAAATACCAAACATGGACCTGTAGATCTAATTCCCAATTTGCCCTTTTCTTCTTCCTTCATCCTTTTGATTTTGTGCCTTTTTTCTCTGGGAATATAGAAAAGGTTTGGTTTCATATTTGGACTTTTGTGGTGAATGATATGTATTTTTTTTATGCATATATATTGAAAAGGACATGCGTTGTTTCTTCATCAGTTTCGTAATAATCTGGATCTTTGGTCAAGTTTAAGGTTTAGATCTGATGAATCTGGATTTGTTTTTGTAAAAAAAAAAATTACTAAAATTGCAAATTGACTTAGGGTTCCTCAGATCTTTCAAATCTCTTGTTGATTTTTTATACTGATTCTGAGTTCTGATGACCTGAATCTGGCTGCAGTTGATTGAGCTCCAGCTGTTTTGACCTTCCAATTTAAGAAACCCTAATTTCAAGTTAGATACTTTGTAAGCAATTTTTTTTAATGGGTCTTCCTAGATTTTGATTGATTGAGATATTTAGTGATGTATTATTAGTATTTTTCATTTTTTTTCTATTATTGGGGTTTGTTATATTCTTGAGAAATGATGAGTCTTTCCTAATTGTATTGTTGTTGGAACAGTAAGAAGTAATGGGGACAGAGCTGATGAGAATCTGTGTGAAAGAAGAAAGTGATGAGCTGCCATCTGTTCCTCCTGGGTTTGAATCATATGCTACGTTCACTTTAAAAAGAGCTGTCCCTGATGCTGCTGAGCCTGCTATGGAAAGTGTTTCTTCTGTAACCGATCAAGGTGAGATGGAGACTGAATCCGATGAAGCCAAAGCTGCTCGGTCTCTAAGGCGTAGACCTTGGATTAACTATGATGATGATGATCAAAATCTTGATCAAGTTAGTTCCTTTTTCTTCTTCTTATGCTTAGCAGCAACTTGTGTGTTTTTTCTTTGCCTTGTTCTAATGCTTCATGTGGTTGCAGAATTGTGGAGTGAAGCCTTCTCTACCAAAGGGCGTGACCAGAGGATGTGCAGAATGTAATGACTGCCAAAAGGTTAATAATCTCACCTTTGATTGAGCGTTAAATGCCTTACCTTTTCTTGTTTCATAACACTATAGCGTCAATGGTTCACAGGTAACTGCGAGATGGCATCCAGATGAAGCTCGTAGGCCTGACCTTGAAGATGCCCCTATATTCTACCCGAGTGAAGAGGTCTTGTTTGCATACCTTTCAACTGCATATACATATTTTTTTCTGACATAAACTGTAAATCTGTTTGTAGGAGTTTGAAGACACTTTGAGCTATATAGCTAAAATAAGACCGAAGGCTGAGAAGTATGGAATCTGTCGCATTGTTCCTCCTCCTTCCTGGAAGCCTCCTTGCCCGCTGAAAGAAAAGCAAGTATGGGAAGGTTCTAAATTTGCCACACGTGTCCAAAGAGTGGATAAACTTCAGAACCGGAGTTCAATGAAGAAGGTTTCAAAGCTTTGTAATCAAATGAGAAGGAAGAAGAGGAAGTGCATGAAAATGGGAATGGATTCTGCCACTAATGGCAAGAGCGGTCCTGGCTCTGCAAGCCCCGGAATGAGTGGATTTGAGACGTTTGGGTTTGAACCTGGTCCAGGGTTCACTCTAGAAGACTTCAAAAAGTATGCTGATGAGTTCAAGGCTCAGTACTTTAAAAAGAGTGAGACTTCTACAGAGAATGAATGTAAAGGTGGTGAGTCCATAGACTCATGGGAGCCAGCAGTTGAGGATGTTGAAGGTGAATATTGGCGGATAGTAGATAAAGCAACGGAAGAGATAGAGGTGAAGTTCTATCCCTTTTTATTTGGGGTTTTATGGTCTATTGTGGCCTCTGTATCTCCTGACAACCGTGTTGATTCTTCAATATAGGTGCTATATGGTGCGGACCTTGAAACTGGGGTATTTGGTAGCGGATTCCCTAAGATATCATCAAGCCAGGTGGCTTCTTCTTCAGACGGAAAATATGCAAAATCAGGCTGGAACTTAAATAATTTTTCAAGGCTTCCAGGATCCCTTCTGAAGCATGAGGGCAGTGATATCTCTGGTGTTCTTGTACCGTGGTTGTATATTGGGATGTGCTTTTCTTCTTTCTGCTGGGTAAGATTGATCTCTAAGAGTTGCATATTTAAAAGTATTTTGATGTCCATATATTCTGCCTATGGAATTTTCTGCAAATGCTTTAGTCTCATCATATTACACAGTTTTATTACACCACGTTACATCTCATCTCGTTTTATTATTTTCCACTACTGACATTCCTTTTGTTACTGTTTCCCCATAATAGCATGTGGAAGATCACCACTTGTATTCGATGAATTACATGCACTGGGGTGCACCAAAATTGTGGTATGGTGTTGCGGGGAAGGATGCTGTTAAACTTGAGGAGGCGATGAGAAAGCATTTGCCTGACCTTTTCGAAGAGCAGCCTGATTTGCTCCATAAGCTAGTAAGCATTAGATATTTGTTGAACCGAATCAAAACTTTGTGTTCTACACTCACTTTGTAGTTGATAGCTCTGTAGGAACTTCTATAGATCCATATTTTTTTTGTCCTCCTCTGACTTGAACCTGGTTTAAATTCATTTGTTAGACATCATTGTTTCGGTGTGATTTGCATAAATGTAATCCTTTGATACTCTTTCCTGTAGGTTACACAACTCTCCCCATCAAAACTGAAAGCCGCAGGAGTACCTGTGCACCGATGTGTCCAGCATGCTGGAGAGTTTGTCTTGACTTTCCCTCGGGCATATCATGCTGGATTTAACTGTGGTTTTAACTGTGCTGAAGCTGTGAATGTAGCACCAGTTGACTGGCTGCCTCATGGACAGATTGCTATAGAGTTATACTGTCAACAGGGTAGAAAAACGTCCATCTCGCATGATAAACTGTTACTTGGGGCAGCAAGAGAAGTAGTGAAAGCAGACTGGGAGCTGAACTTACTTAAGAAAAATACAGTAGATAACTTGAGGTGGAAAGAATTTGGTGGAAAGGATGGGATCTTGGCCAAAACACTCAAGGTACATATGTCTTTTCTCTTTTTTTTCTTGAAGTTAAGGATCGTTCTTTATTATCAACATGGTGATTAATTGACTTTGTCATGATTGTATATAGGCACGCATTGATATGGAACGTACAAGAAGAGAATTCCTATGCAGCTCCTCACTTGCATTGAAGATGCATAGTAATTTCGATGCTACCAACGAGAGAGAGTGTTGTATATGCTTCTTTGATTTGCACCTGTCTGCTGCTGGTTGCCGTTGTTCCCCAGAGAAGTATTCATGTTTGACTCATGTGAAGCAGTTGTGTTCGTGTCCGTGGGTTACTAAATATTTTCTATTTCGCTATGATATGGATGAACTGAATGTTCTTCTTGAGGCTGTGGAAGGAAAACTTAGCTCTGTATATAGATGGGCGCGTCAAGATTTAGGATTGGCTTTAAGTGAACACCTCTCAGCAAACAAGATGGAGATGGATGAGGAAGAAAAAGTGCACAAAGACCTGAGTCCAGGTGCTGCTTCACTTTTAGAGAAAGATTTACAGCTGAAAGTAACATCGAGAGAAGATCTAACTAGAGGGTTAGAAAAGACGAGTACATTACTTCTGAAAGTTAAGGAGGAGCAATTAACACCAAGCCAATGTATGAAGCCAGTCAAAGAAGAAACTCTTTATGATTCATCTGAAGGAGGCATCTCTATGACAGCTGCTAAGTCCACAAGTGGAAAAAAGAATTCACAGAGTGTACCTGATGATGTTATACTCGTCAGTGATGATGAGCTAGACATACCAAGGAAACGAGTTTCGGAGAAAAGAAATGCAGTTTCGCCCAGCAAGCATTTGAAAATACGGGAGAGACCAAGCCACGTTTTAGCATTAGAAGCGACTACTAAAACTGCTACTCCCATGATAGAAAAGCAAGCAATTTCTTTGCCTGATAGACAAAACATTATATCACTGCCTACTAATGACCAAAGAGCAGTGCTAGGGGATGTACCAAGTTCTGTATCTCATACGGAAGTTAATGCCGTAGCTGATGGACTTGCTCATGATAGTATATGCAATAGTGTTGACACTAGCAACCAAGGTGGTGTAAAATATACCAGCTGTAAATCCAAAATCTCTGGAGGTTTAGCTATAGTGGATGTTGTTGATGGGATAAGAAGTAACTCAGGTACACCATCCTGTTCGCAAAATAATAGTCCGGATAGGATCATCCGCCAAAAGGGTCCACGTATAGCAAAAGTTGTGAGGAGAATCAATTGCAATGTAGAGCCTTTAAACTACGGATGTGTGCTTTCTGGAAAATCATGGTGCAACCGCCGAGCAATTTTTCCTAAAGGTGACAATATGATCATGTATTTTAAGCAAATTGTGTACAATGCAAGTGCTTAATGTCTATTCTTCTTTGGTGCAGGATATCGTAGTCGGGTCAGGTACATAAACATTTTGGATCCAACAAGGATGAGCTTCTACATTTCAGAAATTTTGGATGCTGGACGCAACAGTCCGTTGTTCATGGTAAATTAATATCTTTCTTGTCTGAAAAAAGGCTGCATTGCCTTGGATTATCTTGGTCATGGTGCAAATCAGATAATCTTGCTCATCAAGAAACTGTGTGGTATGGTCTTCTTGTCAGGTTTACTTGGAAGGTAATCCCAGTGAGGTGTTTGCCCACTTGTCTCCTACAAGATGCTGGGAGATGGTAAGAGATAGAGTAAACCAAGAGATAATAATCCAGCACAAAGCTGGTAAACTAGATCTTCCTCCTCTGCAACCCTCTGGGAGCCCTGACGGTTTTGAAATGTTTGGATACACGTCACCTGCAATATTACAGGTATATACTAAAACCAACTTTAGCATTTTCACATATGATACCTAGAAAATATAAAGCTTCATTTGTAATGTGATACCAGGCTATTGAAGCACTAGACGTGAATCGAGTGTGCACAGAGTATTGGGACTCGAGGCCTTATTCGCGGCCACAAGTTCAGTTCCCTGCAAATACTCTTCTCAGAGAAGCCAACACAAGCATAATACAATCATCAGATGTGAGAAATCTCCAGATAGTTCCCGGACAACGTCTATTACCAGCTGGAACAAACTCCATTCTCAAGGTTCTGCTCAAGAAAGCTAACATGGAGGAACTAAGCTCACTTCAAGAGGTTTTAAGTGAGTCTAACATAGATTTGATGTCCGAACTTGTGAAGGAAGAGATCCAGAAGCGGTACTGATTTATCTGGAAGGAGATTTTGATTTTGGTGTGTACATACAGAAGTGATGAGGCTCTATGCTCAATCTTTTTTGGGCGCCCTTACAGAGGAAGGATAGAAACATATAACCAGAAAAAAAAAACTCTGTTCTTCTTCTTCTCTCTAAACAAAAAGAAGAGGAGAAACAAAGAAAGAAAGAATGACTTTTAGGGTTTTTGAAACCATTAGTTTTGCTTACTAGTCAGACTACAAGATTCATGTGTGGGGTTGGTTTCCAATTCAATATCACTTCACTCGTATTGACATACGTTTCTCTGTTTTTTAAGGGACATTGATTTGAAAAGTACTATAAAAGTAATCAGTTCATATAAGCTCTTAACGTATCTATCTTTTGAAGAAGAAAGTTGACCAACTTTTTAGGTTTTATTAACATGGATGAACACTCACCGTTACATGTTATGTATGTATAATAAAACAAAAACACAATAATAAGATGGAGGAAATTATAGGGTGACAATTACATTGAGAGATCGATCGATCCTTATTATTTATAAACAAAAGTAACTTTGACAAACAACATTTTTAAAAAGAAAAAGCATTTTCGGTTTCGACAATTTAGTTTCGGCTTGGTTCCTGAATCATTTGCACTCCTGAATCATTTGCACTGCTTGCTGCCAAAATAAAAGATCAATATTCAGATAAACATCAGTGTCACTGTTAGAGAAAGTTGTAAGTACGGAGAAATATGATAAAAATTTCTTACTTGTAAGCAAGACAAAGTGTAATGCACATCACTTGTTGTTATCTGGTGGTGTATAACCATTCTGATCCTGAACATATATAGGTTTTTCAAAGACTTCTTTATTTGCATGTTAAACATATAAAACATCAAACTATGGTTCATGTGAGACATACCAGGATGTGTTTCCCGGGAGAACAAGAATGCCACAATCCGTGAGACTTTTGCGCACTTTCTCAGCAGTAAGTCTTGAACCATCCTCCATATCCATGAATATCTAAATTTTGAGACGAATAATTAAACATAATTGTTGATAACACAACAAGAGTGTTGTGACAATATACGCACCATGTTGGTCTCCACGGCTGCAACGTTTATTCTAATCCCTTTCATTTGATTCAACCCTTCTGCAAATATTCACGTTATTGAGTTATCTTTTATATATATATATATATATTTTGTTATGGTAAATTGTAATGGTGACTAGAGTAAACGTACGTACCAGCTAACAACTTTGCCTTCTTGTGGTCAAATTGTAGCTTTGGGAGGTTCTCTTGGAGTGCGACCAAAGCGGCTGCACACAGAACTCCTATTTGTCTCATTCCTCCACCTAATGTTTTCCTTAATGTTTTCGCCTTCTCTATGAAACTACTTGAACCAACGATTACAGTTCCTACCGGAGCTCCAAGACCTTTAGAGAGACACACCTGAAATATAGTAATGTACATGTGTGAACTATTCTCTCAGTTATTTTTATCTAAATTTTTTTTAGATGTTAGAAAAGAGAGAAAATGGTACCGAAACAGAGTCAGCAGCCTGTACAAGCCTATGAACTGGAACTCCAAGTGCCTACATAAAAAACAATAATTTCATAACGTTTTAGTCGGCAAATCTCATAAATAGCAATTTTATGTTTTCTTATCAGAAAAAGCACTAGAAAAGAAACATCATTAAAATAACATTTATTAATCAATAAAATCACTAAATACTAAGTCTTAAATTCTAATCATTAAACCAAACATAAATTAAAAAAAAAAATTTAATGCTATTTTTTGTAATTTTTTCCTTTGTGTGCTAATTTTTGAACGAAAAAAATTATTTAGTGCTATCTAAAGATATTTCTCTTATATGTAAATATTATGTTTATATGCCACACTCCTAGTTCAAACGTATTAAACTGTGGATTGCTAACAAGAAAAATGAGATAAAGTAGATGATTAATATATATTACGATGGAAGCATTAAAGAGGCGAGCTCCATCGATATGAAGCTTCAGACCATGTCTCTTTGCAATCTCTCCAACACTATCTGTGTATTCAGCACTCAAACATCTCCCTCCAGAGCTGCAACAAAACCTCATAAAAAAAAAACTAGCTAATAGCAAGTTTGATTTACTCAAGAGAGACACTTACTTGGCGTGTGTGTTCTCCAAGCAAATCAACCTTGTAGATGGATAAAACGTGTTTCCTTTAGGGTCTCTAACAGCTGCTTCTATAGCCTCCAAATCCATTGTCCCGTCTTCTTCATTCTTGATTGTCTTGGGATGCACGCCTCCTATTGTTGATATCCCTCCATTCTCGTAAACATGGATGTGACTGTTGTCTCCAAGAATCACCTCACTACCTCTCACTTCGCAGTGAACCATAACGCATATCAGATTCCCCATTGTACCTGATGGCACGAAGAGAGCTGCCTCTTTACCCATCATCTTAGCCATCTTCTCTTCAAGGTGGCGAGCCGTTGGGTCGTAGCCAAGGATGTCATCGTCCACTTCTGCACTAGCCATTGCTTCGCGCATGGCATCAGTGGGTCTAGTCACTGTGTCTGATCGTAGATCCACACTTCTTATCGTCATCTTAAAAGCCCTAGCGTGTCATATAAGGTAAGATTAGGAAACGTAGAAAAGGGTCAACAAATGCCCTAACGTGTTAAAAAAGGTATAGACTTCCTAATTGTTTATGATTTTTTTTTTCTTAAGAATCTGTTTCAACTTTCATATGAACAGTTTTGACTGTCAGATTAGATGAAAGAACCTTGACATTTCCCTTTCCAGTAATTGAACTGGTCTATGGGGACAGCACATTGACTCTCCTATTAAAATGTAAAACGTCCGTACGAATCTCACTAATTACTGCTTTTAAATATTAGAGATTAGGATTAGAAGAGTATTAAAATGTCCCCTTCCTCCTTAACATCACTAGGAGGAAAAATCTTAGAATATCTTAGTATAATAAAATATTAGTCAGAACATTAAGAAGGAATGTAATAAAATTATAGAAAAGTGATGTTAGTATTAAAAAAAAAATACTAAGAATAATCATTGTGTTGAGCATGAGAATGATGATCATGCAGGTTGAGATTTGATTTTTTTTTTTTTTTTTTTTTTTGAGAAGCGGAGGAGTACCTGTGTAAATGAAGAAGGATGCGTTTGTTTCTGATTCCAAGTCGAGCTTAGTTAAATAAGCTTCTTGTGGCCTAACACCAAAATAACACATCACAATAATTAAAACATATTAAAGTTCCAGAAAAAAAAACTTAAAACATATTTTAGAAAAACATCGTGAAGCTAAAGAAAGTTTAAGGTTTGCATGCTATGAAGAAAGAAAATATACAAACACATAACCAGTAAAGATCATAAGAAGTAGTTCGAGTGGGTGTGACATATTCAGAGATGTTTGTTATTTTCAGGATAATCTGAAACAGAGCCTTTTTGATTTTACGTGGACTTGGCAGATACTTTTAGGCTGGCCAAAGTTACCATTTGGCTGCCAGGAAATCCTGTAGGTATTAGGAACTATTTGGCAGATACACGTACATAAACGTGTTCAGGCAAATAGCAATTCACGAGATAGTTGTTGTCTTCTTACTATCATCGTCTGTATCGATGATCACTTACAGTTGATCTAATCGAAGGCTGTGTCTTTTTTGTAATGATATTTTCTAATTTTTTGTTTGGATTACAAATTATTTTATGTTTTTGAACAAATGACTAGCTAGGATTTAAGGATCTTAATCTTTTTCCGCATGCATGGGTTTTAATGTTTCAAACTTAAGGAAAAAAAATCTTCTCCAAGAACATATATACAGAATATAAAAAGAAAATTAATAATTTACGTGTATAATGCATACTTATTAATGACCATTAGCCTGTTTTAAAATTATATATCAGTGATCTGCTCATACAATAAATTGGATAATTATTTCTCACCACGTATTTACGAAGGAAGACAAATATGATGCAGAAAAGAACAAAACATGATTTTGTAATGTCAACATAGACACATATGTATTTTTTTCTATCTTCTATATAAGTTTCTTTTATATTGTTACAGTCTCAAATATTCATAATATGATATATGAATATTGTTACGAATTTTTTTAAATGATCTATGATGGAAACAAATATCAAATACACATAGAGACAGAAGTGAAGCACCAGTTAAGATATATTGTCTATAAATCTTCCTACCATTAGTTCTAAAACACCAAATTTGCTTATTCAGTTTTAGAAGGAAGAAGAAGATGCAAAAATGAAACGTACCACTTCTTTAGTAAGAAAGACGTAGAAGCAGAGAAGACAGAAACTCAGGTATGTCTCACCCACTCGTCAAACTTCTCAATGTGTCTTAGTTTGGAGCAAATGTTCATGTCTCTCGCTCTATTTATAGACATGTGACTGCGATATAAATTGAGTCAGTTCCCACGTTTCACTTCTACTCTCATGGATCATGGCGTCTCTGTCTCTATCGATTTTCCAGATTTTATTCATTTTTTCATTTTTCTTCTCTAAAATAAACTAAAATTATACAATCGTTATAAGCGTGACAGAAAATTATGATACATTGTTATATATTTATTTCATTCATTAGGGACTTTCTTCTTCTTTCTTCAATAATTGTGAAAGCATATGCTATACGTATATACAATTGTTTATGTAGTGGCCCCATACCACAGAGTCAAGAAAGAAAGAAAGAAAATCCAAGTGGAAACTGAACTTGGATGATGATCACATTAAGTTTAGCCGCCTGACACTTTTTCCAGCAACGAGCTATCTGTAGTGAGATAATAAGTTTGTATGTTTCATTTTTGAAGTGTACGCTGCAGTAAACGTTCAAAGAACTTTAGGTAATGACCGTAATGTAATATGAGATTGTGAATGGTTGCTGAACTTTAACTCTTCAAGTGTTGCATGAAAAATCGATACGTAGTTCCTTTAAAAACTATTTTTAAACATCTAACTCAGCCATGAGATTTTTTTTTTAGTATTATTATACTCTATTAAAATATACTCCATATGATTGATGAGAGTTGACCAAATTTCTTATTAGAATTTTTATGCTACCAATTGATAGTTTGTACTTTGTAGTCTAAATCAAGAACGTTTATGTAACCCGTTTCAAAATGGCATTATACTTATGTGAACTCAATAACATGCTAGTAGTTGACCCTACAAAAAATAATTACAACATGCAATTATCATATAACTTACACGGCATGTGTTCCCTTAACACACTAGTTTTTGTTTAATAGATTATAGATCATATCATTAAGAATAAGTATAGGTATAAATTACATGCTACATGATTTATTTTTTAGGAAACGTTTAAATTATACTAAACATAATCAATCTATTAGAAACGCAAAAAATCAGAAAACTATGTTGAGCAAACTTCAAGGTTAATTTTTGGAGTACCAAGATTAGTTGCATCTCGAATACACATTTTTGGACAAGATAGTGTGCTACTTCTACTAATGAACAAAGAATATCTCAATGGTTAACATCTGACAGCCAAAACTTCTCCAAAATCTTCTTGTAGATCAAGTTCGTTGTGGGCTCTCTCTCTCTCTCTCTCTCTCTCTCTCTCTCTCTCTCTCTCTCTCTCTCTCTCTCTCTCTCTCTCTCGATTATCTGTAATATGACGCCATAACATAGAGCATCAAAGGTGATGAGGCTGTCACTATAAGTTCCTGCAACACGGTATCAACGTTACCACTGTCAATTCAGTTCTTGTCACAATATCAAAAGCCTAGTTTAGGGTCACTAGACTCACCACTGATGGAACTATTTGGAGACCAGACCCTTCACTTCTTTTTTTTTGATCAGAGACCAGACCCTTCTCTTTGTTAAACGTTGGTTCAAAGAATATTGCAAAATCCAACTTAGGAGGTCGATTCAGGACTAAACTTGGTGCATCTAGTTTTTCATTTAAGTAAAAGTAGATTCTGTAATACCTATAGGTGTGACAGGCATAATAATCATCTACAACCTAATCAAACTAGTGATGTTGCTTAAGCCAACACCTAAGTTAAGGGAAGGTTTCAAGTGAATAGAGATGTGGGTTAGGCAAGAACACTAACCTGGTTACTGTAAAGAGCAATGAGTATGGAGCTGCCCATGTACTCAATGACATTTAAGATCCCGGCATAGGCCTGAAAAGCATGATTCACAAAGAGTTTAACGTAGAATATAATCAAGTAAAATGAGATACCTAATTAACTAGTCACAGCTAGTGCAATCAGAACAGATTCTTTAAACCAGTAGAGTCTTGAGATAGATTAACATACCAAAGATGCCACAAGTAACTAAAGAAAGAGACCGAAGAAGCCTCTTTCCCATTCTCAATCCCCGTCCCTTTTGGCCTTTTCTTCGCCCTCATCCTGCAATCAGTGTCAACATCAATGCTAGTTAATACTGCCACCAGGTGCACTGACACTAAACATACGGCACTTCAAATTTCATCAAAACTCACGTTATATGGAATTTTTTTATTTTTGTCAACATCTTGATCCCATTTAAAGTTGGTAGAAAAATACAAGAAGGTTAAAAGACCCAGAATAGTACATAGCTTTGGTCATTTATCCAATTTCTAGAAACATAAGAAAAAGGAAAATTTGAAGTCATTCCTTTTGGATAAGAAAATCTGAAAGCAAAAACATAATATGGAATAACCATATGACAGAAAAGTATAATTATACAAATCAATATACAATTATTGAAAATGAAAAACCATATCTAACTCCACAACAACCAAAGACATAGTTATAGTTATGAAATAAATGAGAACAAATAAGCAGACATATATACATAGTAAAGCCTAAATATCATAAAAATTGGACAACTTGAGATCAAAACCAATAATTACTGACACTGACACTAATCATCTATACGTAGAGTGGTAATATTATTCATAAGATATATGGAATTGTAATCAAACTCAGAACAGCTTATAATATAGATAAAATAATTATACAAATCAATATATAATTACTGAAAATTGTAAAACCATATTTAATCTATATATAGAATAACAAAAAAAGACAATTGAAATTATGAAATAAATAAGTGAAAACTATAAAAAAAAAATACTAAAAGCCCAAAAAATCATATAAAGAATGGACAACTTGGGATCACATAACAGACTAAATCATGAATAATTGAATATTAAACAAAATAAAAATCATAATTACTCTCCCACCCGAAAGCCATATCCAATATCCTATGGGCTATTAACGTTAACTAAACAATATCCAATATCCAATATCCAATATCCAATATCCAATATCCAAATAGCATCAAATGGAATATACCTTTTAAGAATCTTTTAGGTCTATAAAGACAGAGACATCTCACTCAAAGCTCCTCTTCTACTTAACACAAACACAACCAACAAAAAAAACAAAACTCAAAACATACTATGACTTGTACCCAAACACTCCTAAACAACAACAACAACAAAGACAACAAGTACCAGATCTGCGAAGAGATCGGTCGTGGCCGCTTCGGAACCGTTACACGCGTCTACTCTCCATCCACCGGCGATTTCTTCGCATGCAAAACCATCGCAAAAAGCTCCCTAACCGACGCGCTTGACCGCGCGTGCATAGACACCGAACCAAAACTCATGGCTCTCTTGTCTTACCACCCAAACATCATCCAAATCCACGACCTCGTCGACACTGACTCCACCCTCTCCATCTACATGGAGCTAGTGGACCCCTCCGTCTCCATCTACGACCGTCTCGTCTCCTCCGGTCCCTTCTCCGAGTCCCAAACGGCGTCGTTCGCCAAACAGATTCTCCAAGGTCTCTCGCATTGTCACCGTTACGGCGTCGTTCACAGGGACGTTAAACCGGAGAATATTCTTTTGGATCTTAGGGACGATACGGTGAAGATATGTGACTTCGGGTCTGGGGTTTGGTTAGGTGAGGGAGAGAGTACAGAAGGTGTGGTGGGGACGCCTTATTACGTGGCGCCCGAGGTTCTGATGGGTTTTGAATATGGTGAGAAGGTTGATGTTTGGAGCGCTGGTGTTGTTTTCTACACGATGCTCGCCGGAGCTCCGCCGTTTTACGGGGAGACGGCGGAGGAGATTTTTGAAGCGGTGTTGAGAGGGAACTTGAGGTTTCCGCCGAGTGTGTTTAGAGGAGTTTCGTCGATGGCTAAAGACTTTTTGAGGAAGATGATGTGTAAAGATGTGTCTAGGAGACTCTCAGCTGAACAAGCTCTCAGTAAGGTTTTTTTAACGGTTCATTAGATTTACTGGATGTTCAGTAAATAATTTTGTAAATTATAAATAAATTTTGCAGGGCACCCATGGATTCAAAGAGCAGGGGAAGCAGAGGAGAGATTCATCTAGAAAGATTCAGATATATAAGTGAAGAGAGGAGAATGTAATAAAGTAGTTAGTAGTGCTTATCGGTTTGTTTGGTCTAACAGTAACATGTGTGAGTGTCGGCATGTAAATGGGGTTCCTACCCACAAGACTCTTCTGGAAGAACATATAAAGAAAAAGGAGCTAAATAAATAAAAGAGGTTGCTGCCAAAGTTCCAAGCTGGCTGGCTTCTTCTGAGTGATGTTTGGCAATGAGTTTTTTTTTTTTTCCTTTTGTGAAATGTTGGCTTTAAGGTTTGCCTTTTGCTGTTTGTTTAATTCCTTTAGGTGTAGTGTAGAAGGTAACTATCTTTTTCCGCCTTTTGCTGTTTTATTTTCTGCCTTTGAGGTGTGTAAAAGGATGAGAGAAAAGCAGAGTTGTACTCCTTTTTTTTCTCGCTTTATCAATAAAATATGTTATATATTTTCCTTTTTCATATTTTTAACATTTGATCCACACTTATTGGATATGATAATTTATTATATGATAATATTGTTGATACTCATCCAGTCTTTGTTTAATTTTATTTTATAGAAATTTTGGAGACAGGTTTAGTTACATTACAATACCTAACCAAAACAGTTTCATATGTTTAAAGCTTTCGATATTCCATTCTTTATATTTTTGTGTTGACTGTTTATATTTTTATAATGTTTTTTTCTGTCTCTAAATCCATTTTATATCAATCAAACTTTTTGAAAAGTAAATTTTCTAAATTATAGAGAAACCAAATTTCGTAAACAACTATCTGTTGTTAATTTTAAAACTAAATTCATGTCTTTGGTTTCTTGCTTTTTACTAGTTTTCGTTAGTTTTTTTTATTTGTTAAAATCTTTTTACGGGATGATTTCAAAGATGTAAGTTTATTTCATATTTCGTAGAATAGAAATGGACGAGTAGATTCACTAGCTAAAAAGACAAAGAGTAGATGTTATTCACTTTTTTATATAGATTAGACCCGGCCAGACGAAATTTCTTCTCGAAAAATCGATTCAACTGATCACCACTTGATCTAGAATATATAGACGGCTGACAAAAAAAAAAAATCTTTCTACATATTTAGAAAAAAAACTTCTGAATTCATGAACTAATATGTACAATTGTCACCATTTAATTATTTAAACACAAATCTACCAAAATTTTAAATTAATAAGTAAAAACTAAAATCTAAAACTAAAGCCGAAAAATCTACCAACATTTTAAATTAGTACGTACAACTAAAAACCAAATTCTAGAATCCAAAAATTTAACTCAAAAACTACCTAAACAATCAAGGTGTCTTCATACATTTGTTTTCTTATTGAATGCCAAATTTTCCTTAGATTTAGTAATTTGCCTTAGAGCCCCAAACTTTCATAGTAAGATTCCACCGATAAAAGTATGTGCCCACTTTTCGTTATTTATAAGACTAATAATAAAAACACAATTCTAAAAATAAGAAAAAAATACTCCAAATATATCAACCTTTTCACTCACTCACGTCAAGGTCTACGCCTGTACGGTAACCTAATAACTATAATGTCATATGACTCATATCTAAAACTAATTTTGTCCTCACATTTGCCACCTTTAGAGCATCATTATCCCACATACTCATTTAGGGGTTCTTATTTTTTTAAAAATAATTTTTAATTAGAAAAGTGGTTTAAGAGACTTAGTCAAGAGACATATATATTTGTGTGGTCCATTGCAAGTCTTTTATTTAAAGGTTCTTAAAAAAAAATAAACATTCTCAACACTTGCCCTATCTTCCATACTACCATCTCCCATACCATAACAGTAGCAAGTATTCATTCAAACATGATCCAAAGCAACAAAATTTATAGAACAATCATAGTGAAGTTTGATGGGTGTTGTCGGAGGAAGCAACGAGAATGAAGTTTGATGAAGTCAAGTCCAGTGGACACTCTGTAACACATATACAAAAGGAAACAATCAACACAACGACATTAAAAAGGAAGAGGAGATAAATAAAACTTTTCCCGCAGCTGAGACTAGACGGATGAACATGAACATCATCTTCCTCTTGTTTCTTTGAGCTTTGACTTCTTTAAAGGTTTTAACACAATAAAGCTACAACGACGAACATATGTGTTTGTGTTTATGTGCTTTTTCTCTTCAAGCAAGACTGCGCCAAACATGATAAATACTGATATGTTAAAGAAGTCAAATGGGTCATCAGAATTATTTGTATACAAGTAATAATCCTAAGAACTGTACTCAAAGACCATACAATTATATCAACTGATCACTTCAGGAATCACAGCCAACAACAAGATCAAAAGAACCACACTTAACAATCAACTAAGACTTGATAAGCAAATCAAAACAGAGAAACACTTGTAAATTAAAGGAGACAATCTATTTCAACTCAAGAAGCTGTAAGAACAGGGTCAATACCACGGATATGATTCATCAAAAGTAAACATTAACCAAACCTCAAAACAGGGAACAAAAAAAATCATCTAATCACTACTACAAAATCAGATCATATTCATCAGAAAAGATCAATGGAAGATAAGAAACATACAGATGGTTTCATGTGTTTCTGAAACCCTCCATTTCTTGCTTCCTCTTCCATTTTCAATGATTCCCTAACCTACAGCAATTTGAACGATTCTCATGAACATCGAATACACACAAGAAACTAAATCATTTTCATAAAAGCTAGAGACTTTATCTTCTACAGAATAAACCAGATTGATTTTCAACGAAATCAAATTGAAAAACTTACGGCTTTAAGCTGACCAAAGACTTGGCCTTTTCCAAGGAACAGCTTGCTACGGCGGCGATGGTGGCGCTTGGAGCGAGGTGGATGGCACGTGAGATTGGCGGGCGATCTGGGCGCAGCCCATTACTCCGATTCGGATTGGCGTGTCGGTGACCATAGCTGTTGGTTTCTCCGGGTAGAGAGGAAGAGATAGAGACGAAGGGAGGAAGCAAGCGAGGAAGAGAAGAGAACGCAGAATCGAAACACTTCTTTTTTTCCAACACAGACACGTGGCCAAGAAGAGACGAACTCTTCTTCTCCTAATTAGGATACGTTTGTTCGGTAAATATGTATTTTTCATTTATTTATTTTTTAAAAAAAGCTTAAGAGACGCCATAGAATACGGCGATAAAGGTGCTCTTAGATTAGAAGAAACGTCCAAGTGTTTCTATCATCTCTTTACCTTATTCTTTGTCGGGCTAATATATACATTAGAATCTTTAAAATTCAAAACTCACATGGTAAACATGAATTTTGATTTGTGCGAGCATATTAGTAAGCATATTCTTTCACAAAAATAACAATAATGAAGATTCCAATCTCCATAAGATATTCCAACCCAAAGCATATGCCTTGGATCAAACCTCTAATTATTCTTTTCTTGAAGGGGACTCTAAGTTTAGACATGACTTATGAATCTTCCGTCTGAGAGGAAAATACCACGGTTTGAGTATTCTTATTTCTCCTTTATTATGTTCTTTTGTTCTTACATTCATGAAATAAATGTTTTTTTAAGCAACTCATGAAATAAATGTTAACGTATAAAATTTCACATTATAGAAAGACAAAAAACGGATGAAGAAAACTATTGAATAACTCTAATCGTAAATCTGGCGGTGCATTGCATATAGCGTGACATGGTATTACATGCAGTATCAAATTAAAACACTTTAAAAATCACAAAACTCCGATTTAAATAACTAACAGAACATTATCTTAAATGGATAAAGCTCACATCCGGAGACTGTGGCATTGTCATTGTACACTGTACGTCACGTAAATGCGTGGCATTTTTTAGTTGGAGTTACATATAGTGGAGTCTAGCAATGAACCCACTAAACCGGATTAATTATGTAGAATTCATTATTATTTTTGTTTGTTGAAGCTTGCGTAAGAAGCGGAATCTTTCGATAAGGTGACTCTTTTGAATTGCATTAATAATGAAATAAAAAATGGAAAACAAATAAAAATAATGAAATAAAACAAAGTTGGCACTGGAAAGAAAACAAAACTTAGATAGAAGCTAACAAGGGGAGAAGACAACACAACACTCTGGTCCTACCCATGTGGTACGGTTAGTTTAGTGGATAGATATCTCATCGATGACGCTTGAGGCGTTATTATGGGTATTGAGTAGTCCCACAATTTGTGGCAACTTGTAACAAATACAATATCAACACGACTACCTTGACCGATTACAGTAAAAGTATAGTTTTTTGGGTATCATAAATAACAATGGAGTTGTTTTAATATTGTTAGATCCAAAGTTTGAAGAAGTCAATGACTCGGTATAACTGAATTAGATATGAAAAACCACACTAACACATCCCAAGTCAAACAACAGTTGAAGTATAACATATTATCATACATAGAAAATGGCAATAATTATTAATAAAATGCTTTTTAGTTAGGTTTGAATGGCAATAAATTCGTAAATTGGTTTAAGAAGCAAAATGATTTCTGAAACAAAAGAGACAATCTAAACTAACAGTTACTGAAACCTAACCTAACTTCTCTTGAACAAAGTTTCATAAGAAACCCAACTGCGATATATTTCGAGAAACAAATATTATCATTAAAAACGAAAATGATAGACGAGTCCCACAAATAGTTTTGTACCCTTGTGGAATTGTCTTTTGACATTGCGTCAAAGCCAAAATGCTTAGAAGCGGGACCCATTTATAGACTGGTGATCAGTAGTTTGACAGATCGAGTCATGTGGTCGGCCGAAGAATCAACTACGTGGTGGTTGATAAGCTATCTTTTTGTAAGAATCTTCTTTTGGATAGTAGCGTATAATAATACCATTTTTTTCTTTCTTTTGTCTGCAATTGCTGAGAGATGTTGGTACAATATAATAGCCTCAGAAGTCAGAACTTGAAAAAAACAATCACGTGGTGCATGAATCATCACGCAGTAACCAATACACTCAAGAAAAAAAATACCGAGAAATAACTAACTCGTTTAGTCGGTGCACGATTCATTTGTCTATCAATTAAACATAAATAACAACAAAAACAAATAAGAAAATTAGAATTGTCCTATAAAAAGCGCATGAGGCTTTGTTTTGAACAATATTTTAACTTTAGGGTTTGTCTAAATGAATTTGATATCATGCCGGATAAAAGGATGGACTAAGAGTAAGTAATACTATTCTTGAAAACATATTCGGAAAAGAGATCTGTAAGTTTTATTTCATTTGCTGTCAAAGAGAGATTAGTCAAGTGTGGTGATCAGAAAGAGAGAAAATGATTTCGTTTCGAAAGTAGAAACGAAATATGCATGTGATAAGTAAGAACACATAAAATAGCCCATAGATTTTTTATGTGAAGCATTTTGATTTGTGATTAAGCCAACATAAGTTTATGCTCTAGACTAATCATCTGTAAGAGGGTTAAAAGATGAAGACAACATAGCATATGTCACCAGTACACAAAACTTTAAATTATGACAATATATTATAATATATTTACAAAAAAAAATTGTAAATATATTATCAATTCAAAAAATATTAGAATAAATTATTTTCATGCTTGTAAAATATTTAACAATTAACTGAATATTTAAACAATTATATATGATAAATTTTTTTTCTTAGAAAATATTTTTATTATATAAAATAAACTTTAAAACATTCATATATACATAAAACTATATAATATAGAACCTTCTTAGATGTAAAATATTTTTGGATAATATAATATAAAATTTCTTAGATAATGATGATTATCAAATTAATGAAGTTTGGTTTTAATTTATGGAATATAAAAAATCTAATCCCATTATTTATTAAGGATTATAAAGATTTTAAACGTTCTTAAAAATAGGAAAATTTCCAATTTTGCCCGAACCGAACATTAGTTGTTCGTGTTTCAAAAAAAAAAAGAACATTACTTGTTGGTTCGGTTTTTCTGCTGAAAATTTTGCTGTGGTGGTAATAAGGGCCATAATAAAACCATTCTCCTAGCAAACAAACCTAATAAATCGATCGAGGGCATCCCCCCGCAGCTAGGCGTCTCTCCACAATCTTTGAGACTTTAAGACGAGCCGTCGGTGTAGAGGATGAGTCAGAGTGATCTAGGGAACGGAGGAACTCGATGTGAGTATTATTAGTTCCCTGTTAATCATCAAAAATAGTGGTTGATGTTTTCTAGTTTTGTATCTATGATTTGTGATTTTGATTTGTTGGAGATGACTAACTAGTGTTTTGTCACGAAACTCAAACCTTAGTAACTTCGAGTGTTTGTTTTGTATATATGGCTTTTAGCGTTTCGACAACCCTGAAGGGTTTCGTCGAAGCTTCAAGTGTGAAGGCAAAAGGAAGACATATCCTAACTCTGCTTTGGTGAAGCTCTATGCCAAGCTCGGCCTTCACCGATACAATTAGTTAGAGGTAAACAAAACATACACACACACACCCTAGTTTATTTAGTTCGATGCTTTTAATAATTGTATGTAGCGAGTTTCATCTGTTTCCTTTGTTCATCTGATTGATTTAGGGGACAAACTTCCGGTTTCTTAGATTAAAGAAATTCAGCATGGCTAATGCTGCATGTGACTACTACATAACTGTGGTTGCTCGCCTTCCAACCACCGACTTGGAGCAAATCTTTCAGGTTAGGGTCGGAGAAGAACGCCTCTGCATTTTGGATTTGACGTGCTCTCATTCTAGACCTCCTCAAGAAGGTAAAGGTGGTTTGATATGCATTATCTCACACTCACACTTTCTGACTGACTATGTTTATTATTGCATAGGGACCAAGAAGGAGATGCCTTGCTTAAGTCCACATCGCCCTAAGACCTACAAAGACAGATTGTTTGATTGGCCCTCCTCAGATTTTGCTTGGCCCTCCTCTTTCAGTGACACCAAACGTTTTTACGTGGTAACTAACATAATTAAACTAAAACCACTCATTTTTGTGGTTTTTGCTTTTGCGCGTAGTAATACTAATATATGTTGCTGTTTGCAGTTGAATGAATCTGAGTTACAATGTGATTGGATTTCTTTGTATCTGGAACTTGCAATCTGTACTTCCCATAGGAAAATCATATACCCAACATAGTGTCTATTTTATTTTTTAATCCAACACAGAAGGAGAGCAAATGCTCCAACTTTTTAATAAATGCTAACCAAACTAGGAATCAAAATCAAAGCACATATCACAATTATTATGTTTTCTTTCGATTAACACTGTTAATACTTTTGTAATTTTGTTACAAATGTATCAATATAAACTATAATAAAAAATTGTTTCCAAAATTGGTCAGTCATGTCAATGGTTCATTAGTTAACCATAATTTTATGTAAGCTGACATGGATTTCTCTAAATTAAATGTCAGGACTCATGACTCATTCATTTGAATTTTGTTTAAATTATATTGGTGTAGGTCTAGTAGGCGATTAAGCTAAAAGTTCATATACAATGGAATATGAAGACGGATGAGTTAAAAGAGAAAACATTATAGTTTCTGATTTGATTGATTCAAACTTCAAATTGTCTTAATACACATAACGACTTTTAAAATACCAACAACTAGATTTTGAACCCGCACATCCGTGCGGGTATTTTTTCATTTTATAAAAATATAACAAAATCTTTCAAATATATATGATTTACATTCTATTGTTATATATTGTGTAATTGTATAATCTTATAATTTTAATTATTTTATATAATATATTGTTGTAAGTTTTAAAATAAAAAAAATATTTATATATAATTTTTTATATAATGTATTTGTTGTGAGTTACAAAAATATATGTTAACATTTTTTGTATAAAAATATTATATGATTTAAAAACTTTAATATGTTTTAAAAGTGAACGATATTTATATATTTTTTTCAATAATTTTTTTTAAAATAAAATATTTTCTTTTACCAATTTAATATATTTTATATTCATTTCACATAGCATTTTATTTTAATATAATATAGAATATAACTAAATTATAAAATATACCAATTTTTATTTTAATTAACATTAATATAGATATTTATATATATTAATCACAAAATTAAATAATGCACATTTTATAAAAATATTTAAATTTCTTAGTAAGATCTTGTTAGATATTTCTCAACAAATTTATTACTAATATCTTAATAATTATTAAAATATTCTTCTAATTATATATATTTGATTGATTAATATAAATAATTAAATATCATATTAATGAGATGGTCCAACATGACTTTTTTGTAGTAGATATAAATGGTACTTCTCTTTTAATAGAGAAGATAGACACAAAGTGGAGTTTCCTTTAACTATGTTTTGGATGGTAACGGCAATTTACCAATTGAAGAAATTACTAAACACAAAATATTTAGTGAAAACCAGAGATAACAAATATTAGAAACAAAGACGCAGACCTATGTTCTCATTATCATCAAGATCAGAGAGCGTTTTAGCTAAAACTGCTAGGTCCATCTATGTAACAACAACGATAAAACAGAATAGTCAATAATTAGAAATTATTCAAAAAAATTTCAAATACATATCCATATATTCACAAATATGTTACATTGTTTGAGTACACATTCCCCCCCCCCCCCAATCAACAATTAATAACTTTACTTTTATAGCAATTCCACAATCATTACTTATGTCCAATTTTTGTACATGATAACATCTATGATTTAAGTGTGAGATAAAATATCATGAAATCATCATCCAACAAATATGACCCCAAGTGACCCCAATGTTCATTTCTCGAAGGCCTTGGTGGTGGCCTCATAGTCCTTGAAAACAAAAGCAAAAAAAGAGCAATTTAGAAACATACACATGTTGTCATTGATATGAAGACTTACATTTGCCAAGCATTTGTGGATTAACATTGGAGTATAGATACCAAGGGGATAATGGAATGTATTTATTCTCCCACTTGCGGATGACTTTTTCGGCACTGACCAAATCAGAAGAGACATAGGCCTACAGATGATGTGGTAAAATTGGTTTGGAACGTAACCAAGAATCTCTTTCCAATCGATTCTTTTCAAAATTTCTGTGAATTCCTAAACATAACACATAGCACAAACGAAATGAGATCCAGAGATAAAATGTATAAAAATTATGAAGAGGATTAAAAAGAAAGAGTGTTATACTGGATCTTTTGTTTTCCAGGAAAGAAACGGATGCATAGGATCATAGTTGAGATGTTAAAGGGTCCTATTCGGTTTGTGGATTTAGGTTTAGTTATAACCGAGAAAGCCACAATGTAAAAAATACAGAAGAGATGACATATAATACTAGCGAAGGGTTCTCTTATCAATAAAACAAGAAGTAGACTGCGAAACGAAGCCTAAACTCTAGGGAAATCGAGAGGAAATGTTAACGCCTCACCTTTAACCTGAGTTTGAAGAAAACCACTAAAGAAAATGCAAGTGAGGAGACATATATATTGAAGAAGAAGAAGTCATGTGACGATTAACAAAACAAACCTGTGCCATAATTACGTTTTAAATGTATTGATTACGGCTAGTATAACTGATAGACTATAGTATTATTACTAGGTAGTATTATTATTGGGTTATAAACTTGGTCTGCTCTGTTTTCAACAATGGACGCTTATTGTGCAGAGACCAAAGCTTTTCTATCAATATCATCATTCTAATATACGGTTCTATTATAAAATGCTGTGGCTGATAGCTTAGCAAAACGGGTCTTGTCCGTTGAGTTAACTTTCAGTTCCCCACCAAACATTTGAAGTTTATTTAATGAAAGTGTGTTTCAAAATAAAAAAAAACGGTTCGATTATAATATTAAAAAACATTTTTTGTTTCCCACTAATTTTTTCATATCAACTTGTGTTACTAATCAAATCCATCATAGTGTCTATTTTAGTCCAAACAGAAAACTAATATCCAGCAAACTATGGAGTTAATTGGATATTGGTCTGAATTGTTCTTCTAATTTTGGATTCTCTTATATAAATCACAATTAGTGATTCTGGGACGAAAATGATATTTTGAGAAACTTAGGGGTTGAGAAGGTAAATAAATACTTTTGAAGGAGAGAGTGTACGTGGAGTGCTAGAGACAGTGAGTGATTAGGGTCCACGAATTGGCGCGAATTCCATGGGGATCGAAAGAAGAAATCCACCGAACTCCAAGGATGAACAATGATGTCACACTCTCTCTTTCTCTTTATTTTTTTTTGTTTACTCATTCCTACACTCTCTCCTTCACCTCCTTCTTCTTCTCTCTTTATTTTTTTTCCCCGATCTCACTTCCTCCCAGTTTCATTTCTTGGTTCTGTTTCAGTTTCTTTAGTTTTTGCTCTGTGTGGTGACCTTATTCCTCTGAACGTCTTTAGATTGTGTGTCTGCTTTTTCTCGGAATCTATAGGTTTCTTGCGTTACAAGTCTATATACTGCGCCAAAATGAATCTTCACTTGTAATCATTTTGAAGAAGAAAAGAGTGACCAATATTTAACAATGGTACGTGAACGTAACGTTTACATTTTTTGATTGTTAAGTTTTAGGGATATTAATAGCTTTTTGGCTATTCATATTTTGACATTGTTGTTGTTACTATTAGCATTTTGCATTATTGTGATGTTTTTTTTTTGGTAAAAATGCAGGGAACTCCAGTGAATATTATTGTAGGTTCTCATGTGTGGGTTGAAGACACAGACGTGGCTTGGATTGATGGTGAGGTTGAAAAGCTCACTGGACAAGAAGTTGTGATCCAATCCACAACTGGAAAGAAGGCAATGTCAAATTCACAATTTATCATTTCAACTTGTTCACCTAATTAGTAATATTATCCCATTAACTGTTTTTAATATTACAGATCACTGCAAAGTTATCAAAGATATACCCAAAGGATGTTGAAGCTCCTGCTGGTGGTGTTGATGACATGACAAAGCTCTCTTACCTCCACGAACCTGGTGTCCTTCAGAACTTAAAGATCAGATATGAACTTAATGAAATCTATGTTAGTAACTTATTTTCTTTACTTAAAGATATGTTTAGACCTTATGTCTTGACTTTGAATCAATTTAATGTTCATGACAGACATACACAGGAAACATCCTTATAGCTATTAATCCTTTTCAACGGTTGCCTCACATCTATGATGCCCATATGATGCAACAATACAAAGGAGCACCTTTTGGAGAATTAAATCCTCATGTTTTTGCAGTTGCTGATGTTGCATACAGGTGATTTTTAAAATACTTTTTGTATATATATATATATGTATTATGATCAGCCTAAGACGCCTTTTACCTGTTTATACACTCAGGGCTATGATTAATGAAGGGAAGAGCAATTCGATTCTTGTAAGTGGTGAGAGTGGAGCAGGGAAAACTGAAACAACTAAGATGCTTATGAGATACCTTGCGTATTTAGGAGGTCGTGCAGTTACAGAAGGAAGGACTGTTGAACAACAAGTTCTTGAAGTAATGATCTTTCTATCTTTGTCACTTTGTGTGATCTTCTTATCTATGAGCTCAATCCACTAACTTCTTTGTTATATTCTGCTTCCAGTCAAATCCTGTTCTTGAAGCCTTTGGTAATGCAAAAACTGTGAGGAATAACAACTCAAGGTAAACCAAAATCTTCTCATAATAGATGGCATGTGTTGAGAACTCTAGCTGATTGTTTTTAATATGTTTTGTCTCAGTCGCTTTGGTAAATTTGTTGAAATCCAATTTGATAAGCAAGGAAGAATATCTGGAGCTGCCATAAGGACTTATCTTCTAGAGAGGTCTCGTGTGTGTCAGATCTCTGATCCTGAGCGCAATTACCACTGCTTCTATCTTCTTTGTGCAGCACCACAAGAGGTAACCTAATCTCACCTGCATCTCTTTTAAAAAATATATATAGAGCTCCCCCCATAACTTAAGAGAACTAAGCAGGAGATTGAAAAGTACAAGCTGGGCCATCCAAAGACCTTTCATTATCTGAACCAGTCTAAATGCTACGAGCTTGTCGGTATAAGTGATGCTCATGATTATCTTGCAACAAGGAGAGCTATGGATATTGTTGGAATTAGTGAAAAGGAACAGGTCAGTTTGTATAAGCTTGTCGGTTTTGTTTTCTGCAGTTTTGTAACTTTCTCCCTTTTGTCTTATATCAAACAGGAAGCAATTTTCAGGGTGGTTGCTGCAATTCTTCATATTGGAAACATTGAGTTTACTAAAGGAAAAGAAGTGGATTCATCAGTTCCTAAGGATGATAAGGCCAAGTTTCATCTCAAGACAGCAGCAGAACTTCTCATGTAAGTTAAACACTTTGGCTCCTTATGTGACTATGTGTATTCAATTTTTAGAGATACTGTAACTGGAAGTGTTTTTTTTATAGGTGTGATTTAAAAGCTCTTGAAGATGCATTATGTAAACGTGTTATGGTCACACCAGAGGAAGTTATAAAGAGAAGTCTTGATCCAGAGAGTGCTGTTACTAGCAGGGATGGTCTCGCTAAGACAGTCTACTCTCGATTGTTTGATTGGTAAGTGGTTGGTTTCAAGAGTCCAAAACAGTGGATATTTTACATTATTTTGATGCTAAGTGAATATCTCTAGCTATGTGCAGGTTGGTAAATAAGATTAATAACTCAATTGGACAAGATGCGAATTCAAAATGTCTAATTGGAGTTTTGGATATTTACGGATTTGAGAGCTTCAAAACTAACAGGTAATGAAACCTTTTACATGATTTTATGGCTCACAGAATGCAGACTACTAATATCTCTTTCTGCTGCAGTTTTGAACAGTTTTGTATCAATTTCACTAATGAGAAGTTGCAGCAACATTTCAATCAGGTAGGATTATTGATTGTAGTGGAAACGATGTTTGTTTGTTTTTTCAGCTGTGATGATCACTGAGTTTATTACTTCCTTTTGTTGTTTTCAGCATGTTTTCAAGATGGAACAGGAAGAGTACACAAAAGAAGCTATAGACTGGAGCTACATTGAGTTTGTGGACAACAAAGATGTTCTTGATCTTATAGAAAAGGTTTTGCTCAACTGAGAAAGAACAGTGTAGTTATCAAATTGTATGTCTTTAACCTCACTTTCTACTCTCTTTTCCATCTGCAGAAACCTGGTGGAATCATTGCTCTCCTCGATGAAGCTTGGTAATACTAAAGACACAACTAGTTCCATAGATCTTATATGGTGACTATGTTGTTTTCATAACTAATGAGTAATGCTATTTTTTCAGTATGTTTCCAAAATCAACCCATGAGACATTTTCAAACAAGTTATATCAGACTTTTAAGGCTCACAAGAGGTTCATCAAACCAAAACTCTCAAGAACAGATTTTACCGTTGCTCATTATGCTGGAGAAGTAAGTTGTATATATCTTTTTGCCAAGATTTTACCGTTACTCATGTCTTTTAAATTTCTTTCAGGTTCTGTATCAGTCTGATCTATTTCTAGACAAAAACAAGGATTATGTGATCCCTGAACACCAAGATTTGTTGGGAGCTTCAAAATGCCCTTTTGTAATGGGTCTTTTCCCTCCACTCCCTGAAGAAACATCCAAATCTTCAAAGTTCTCATCCATTGGTTCTCGTTTCAAGGTATCAATCTTACTCTTTTGCAAATATTCTCTTAGTAAGTAGTAAATGTAAGAACTTAAAATATGGTTGGGGCCTGATTGATGCAGATGCAACTCCAGCAACTGATGGAAACATTAAACTCTACCGAGCCTCATTACATCAGATGTGTGAAGCCTAACAATCTCTTAAAGCCTGCCGTATTTGAGAATGTGAACATCATGCAGCAGCTGCGATGTGGTGTAAGTATAAATAAGAATATTTTCCATAAATTTTTTTTTTAATATCCTGCGAGTAATGATAGCAGAGTGTGTACTAATAACTCTAAACCTTATGTTTTCTCTATAGGGTGTTTTAGAGGCGATCAGAATTAGTTGCGCAGGGTATCCAACACGTAAACCTTTCTTTGAGTTTGTAAACCGCTTTGGACTTCTATGTCCTGCTGCTTTAGAAGGGAGGTAAGTAAAACAGATTAGACTGTTTAGTAAGAGTTGTAAAATCAATATTTACAGATTCTGTCTTTCAGCTACGATGAGAAAGTCGTGTGTAAAAAGATCTTGGACAGCATGGGACTTAAAGGATACCAGGTAACTCTTCTTTGAGTATAATGAAACCAAAGTGATGCAATGTAATAATATGCAAACTCATATCTTATGGTAATGCAGATTGGTAAAACAAAGATCTTCTTGAGAGCTGGACAGATGGCTGAACTCGACGCTAGGAGAACAGAAGTACTTAGTGGTGCTGCCAAAAAAATCCAGAGAAGAACAAGAACTCATCAAGCTCAGAAACGGTTTATTGTTCTGAGAAAGGCCACAGTATCTCTACAAGCTCTATGTAGAGGTGAGCCATCTCATTGTAATTAGAAGGGAATTATCTTTGTCACACTATTTGACTGAATATAGAAACATTTATGTAACTTTTTTGCTCTTTTTCAAATATCATAGGAAGACTTTCATGCAAAGTTTATGAAAATTTGAGACGAGAATCTGCTGCTGTGAAGATTCAGAAGAATGGTAGGAGATATTACTCTAGAAAATCTTACAAAAAGCTCCATGTGTCTGCGCTTGTTGTTCAGACTGGTCTGAGAGCAATGGCTGCTCGTAAAGAATTCAGATTCAGGAAGCAAACAAAGGCTGCCACAATTGTTCAGGTTCTTATATAACAACTCTTAAACTGTCTTTATGTTTCTCATGGTCAGCAGTAACACAGAATGTACTGTTTACTAATGGCAGGCTCAGTGGCGTTGTCACAGAGCAACCACATACTACAAGAAGCTTAAAAATGGAGTGATCATATCTCAGACTAGATGGAGAGGCAGACTTGCTAGGAGAGAACTTAGGAAACTCAAAATGGTACAAAATTAGGAGACATGCCATGTGTTTCAAAATTAGAATGCTACTTTTGGTTTACTGTTTCAAACATACTCTTCTTAATATATAGGCATCAAGGGAAACAGGAGCACTTAAAGAGGCAAAGGATATGCTTGAAAAGAAAGTTGAGGAACTCACATACCGTGTTCAGTTGGAGAAACGTTTGAGGGTATTTGAAATAGAAACATTCATTCTAAATCTATCATTTAAAAATCAGATTTATAATGTTTAGCATTGAGTTAATATTTCAGGTTGATTTAGAAGAAGCAAAGACTCAGGAGACAGCAAAACTTCAGAGTTCGTTAGAGGAAATGCGTAAGAAAGTGGAAGAAGCAAATGCATTGCTTGTGAAGGAACGTGAAGCTGCAAAGAAAGCAGCTGAAGAAGCTCCTCCTGTTATTCAAGAAACACAAGTTTTAGTTGAAGATACAAAGAAGATTGAATTGATGACAGAGGAATTGGAGAGTGCAAAGGCTACTCTAGAAAATGAGAAACAGAGAGCTGATGATGCAGTGAAGAAATTTGAAGAAGCTCAAGAGTCTCTTGAAGACAAAGGAAAGAAACTTGAAGAGTCTGAGAAGAAAGGTCAGCAACTCCAAGAGTCCCTGACAAGGTAAGAATGTGTCATCAAGTGCCGTTATTACTATGTTCCTAACCATTCATGTATTCTGCTGGTAATATCATTGTCCGATGAGATATATTGATGAAGTTCATGTGATCAGGATGGAGGAAAAGTGCACCAACTTGGAGTCAGAGAATAAAGTCTTAAGGCAACAGGCTGTGTCCATGGCACCGAATAAGTTTCTCTCTGGCCGCTCCAGGTCCATTTTACAGGTAAATTAGGACACAAAATTTGAAATATCAGTCCACAAGTTTCTTAATTACAATCTGTTTAACAATAACAGAGAGGTTCTGAGAGTGGTCATCTAGCAGTAGATACAAGGTCAAGCTTGGTGAGTACATTTGCCACAGATTGAGTAAATCAACTAATGCAGTTTGTGTCTCAAATTTGGCTTTGGATTGATCTAATGATGGTGCTTTTTTAAATTTGAATCAGGATCTACATAGCCATTCAATAAACCATAGGGAATCCTCAGAAGTAGATGATAAACCACAGAAATCATTAAACGAGAAGCAGCAAGAAAATCATGATCTGCTCATCCGCTGCATTGTCCAACCTTTGGGTTTCAAGGGAAACCGACCTATCACAGCATGTATCATCTACAAATGCTTACTTCAATGGAGATCATTTGAAGTTGAAAGAACCAGTGTCTTTGACCGCATTATTCAGACAATAGGACATGCTATTGAGGTAGCCTTGAGCTTCCTATATTATATGTGATGATAACAAGTGTACTTGGAATTAATGTTGCCGTTACATTGATATCTCAGACTCAAGATAACAACAACACATTGGCTTATTGGTTATCCAACGCCTCTACACTCCTCTTACTCCTCCAACGCACACTCAAAGCTAGTGGTGCAGCAGGGATGGCTCCACAACGCCGCCGTTCATCTTCTGCTACTCTATTTGGAAGGATGACTCAGGTATATATATTGTCTAAATTTCATCAACACAATGTAACAAAAGCTGAGAATGTTTCTATTATCCAGAGCTTCCGGGGAGCACCTCCAGGTGTAAACCTTGCAATGATAAACGGTGCTGCAGGAGGTGGAGCAGATACCTTAAGACAAGTTGAAGCAAAGTACCCAGCTCTACTGTTTAAGCAGCAGCTCACAGCTTATGTTGAAAAAATATACGGAATGATTAGAGACAACTTGAAGAAAGAGATTTCTCCACTCCTTGGATTGTGCATTCAGGTAATCCCATTAACCACATCATCAGCCACCATTTTTCAAAAGCAGAAGGTTTTATTTTTTTGTGTCTTGATCTTTCACATAGGCTCCAAGAACATCGAGAGCAAGTTTAGTGAAAGGAGCGTCACGTTCAGTGGCTAACACTGCTGGTCAGCAAGCATTGATTGCTCACTGGCAAGGAATTGTGAAGAGCCTTACAAATTTCCTCAACACTCTGAAATCGAATAATGTGAGTGTTCCATTTCCTACTAGATTAAGAACAAGTTGTTGAGAGTGTCCTGAGTTTGAATCTTCTGTTTGTGTAGGTTCCTTCATTCTTGGTGCGTAAGGTGTTCACACAGATATTCTCATTCATCAATGTTCAACTGTTTAACAGGTTTCTTCCATGACTCATCAACATTTTCTTACTCTCAAAACATTTTTTATCAGTCTTGTACTAATCAACTGTTTCCTTTGTTGTGACCCCCCAATAGTCTTCTATTGAGACGTGAGTGTTGTTCATTTAGCAATGGTGAGTATGTCAAAGCTGGCTTGTCTGAATTGGAACACTGGTGTTTCAAGGCAACAGATGAGGTATCTTTTCTTTCACTCCCCTATTTATTACACAAACAAAACTAACAAAAAAACAATTGCAGTATGCTGGTTCATCATGGGATGAGCTTAAACATATAAGACAAGCCATTGGGTTTCTGGTAACCTTTTTCTTAGCTTCTACCTAAACCTTAAGTAGGTGTACACCCATGAGTGTACTGATTCTAGCTCAAAAATGCAGGTCATACACCAAAAACCAAAGAAAACCCTCGATGAGATTAGTCATGATCTTTGCCCTGTAAGTTAATCTTTCCCCGGTTAATTTTTATACAACTGTCATGTTTTCAAATTATAGTTTTCATTTTGCTGATTAATTGAAATTATGGACAGGTACTTAGCATACAACAGCTATACAGGATCAGTACAATGTACTGGGACGACAAATATGGCACACACAGCGTCTCTCCAGATGTAAGTCTATGTGATTATATCTTTAACTATCCTTTATATTTATACATATCTTTCTCTATGTATATGAATAGGTTATAGCAAATATGAGGGTGCTGATGACAGAAGATTCTAACAATGCTGTAAGCAACTCTTTCCTTTTGGATGACGACTCAAGGTTAGTACAGAACTTCTTGGTCTTTACTAGTGCCAACAGGTTTCTTTTTTTGTTTGTTGACGTTGTTCTAACTACTTTTGTAATGATTTTTGCAGCATTCCTTTCTCTGTTGATGATTTATCAAAGTCGATGGAGAGATTTGATATTGCTGATATCGAACCTCCACCTTTGATCCGGGAGAATTCTGGTTTTAGCTTCTTATTGCCAGTCGCTGAGTGATTCTTGACTCTCTTTACCTTACACTCCAACGGATTTAGGTCTAATGTCTTCCTCTTTCACCAAATTGGATTGCTTGTGGTGCAAGTAATCGCTACTTTTATTACCTTTCAAATTACTGATAACATGAGATCATTCATTCTTGTGTTTAAGATTTGCATCAGCCTTGAATTATTATTCTCTTACAAACTCGAATACTATGTTTGATTAATAGATTTTTCTTTTTAATAATTGTGATTTTGAGGTGGGAGGGAGTATAATCTTATTCTCTTGAAATTGGCCATATGACATTAATGAAAATTGAGTTATATTCACTTACTTTATAATCTGATTATTTTTCAGACCAAACAAAAACTTTAAAAAAATCTATCTTCCTATTTGAAAATCTCTACACTCTAATTCTCTGGAGCTAATTAATCAAATTAATTTGTTTTCGCTTTCTTTGTAATTAACCAAACTTACAAGGTCCCAAAAGAAAACTTTATATTAATTAATAAAAATCAAAAGGGTTTGTCTCAGCTGAAATAGAACTGTGAATCATCTCTCCAAGTTTGCTTAGAATCTACTAATGAATCAATCTTCTTCAAGATTGATAGAATCCTTGAACTTAGCATACAACACCTTCTTAAGCTCCGCCATTTGTGAGACAATAGATTCCTTCTCTTGTTGGAGCTTCTCAAGGCTTTTGAAAGTGGCCTCTTTCATCTCTTCTATCTTCGTTTCCACATCTTCCCTCGGCATATGAGCAAACACTTCTCCTATTTGAAACCTCACCATCTCCTCATCGGATAGGATCAACTCGTTCCCCGCATCCTCTAGATTGTCACATTTTTCCTAAGTAATAAAAAAAAAAAACAAATTCAGACAATAGAGTTTAACTACAAGACTTGGCATGAACAGACATGATTGAGAATTATTACAAAGTAACGAACTGTTGCTGTTCTGTTTAACAGAATCTTACAAGAAGCTATTAATCTTCAACTTGATTTTAATGTTTTGTTACATTAAGCTTAAGTAGTAGCTCATCAACTATTACTTAACCAATTTAATGATGATAACCGGATTAAACCAATCTATACATCATAACAGAAGCTAATAACAATGATCTAACAAATTCAGTTACAGTTTACACTTCACACCAATCAACTGATCAAGAGACAAACACTGAATCATACTCTCAGGAACATTCTAATTAGCTTCATCCTAATAATTGATTAAATTGAATTATTCTCTGATCTTAAAAACCCTAAAATCGAAGCAGAAACTCAAATTAAATTTAAAAAAAAAAAAACTAAAAATCAAAGTTTTTTGGAGAATAGAGAAGATTGGTAATACCTTGGCGAATTTGATATCGTCTTGGAGTTCATGGAACCTGTTGTTGAAGCGGCTGAAGGTGTTAATGTTCTGCTGGTCCTCCCATGTCACTTGCATCTCAGATCCCCTGCTGCTACTCTTTCCCTGCACATTATTACCAAACCATTCATATTCACAACCAGAGACAATCGAGAAAACAATTTCACTTTAAAAAAAAGATTGAGATTTTATTATTACTTGCTGCATCATTTTCGTTTCTCTCGCAGCCGATGGAACCAATTGAAAAGCTTTTCTCCTCTCTGTTTTTTCTTGGGACGAAATTGACGAGGTCGATCTCAAGAGAGTGTAGCGTGTATCTAATGTAGGAGAGTGCACCCTTCTTTTTAATTTTTTTTTTTTATATTACGAGTTTTTTTTCTTCTTTTTATTGCATTTTGTCGTACGTGTTCAATATCAGAAATTGCATGGAATAATAATAAATTGCTTTAAATACATTCGTGAAATGAATATACTATTTAAAAAGCACCAACCCTATTACGAATAAAATTTCCAAACGAAAATAAAAAGCACTTTCATTTAGAACAATATTAATAGAAATTCTCATAAATTGTAAGTTAAAAACATCATGTTAAAACTCACCATAGAACATGCTCTAAGTTATATAGTGTGATCATTATTATTTCCTAAGAAATATTCTCACCGTACACGAATTAAAAAATAATAATTAATTTACATATTTTCTATATAAAAAATAATTACTTATACATTTAATCATATTTTAACCAATAAAAAAACAATTACATAATAAAATTAATAATTTTTGCCTTTGAAAACCGAAAACGATATTTATTTTGTAATGAAATTTTTTTCCTACAATGACATTTAATATGGGAATGGAGATAGTATATCTAAACCAATTAATATAATTCTTTTGTTTTTCTTGTTTAATATAGGCTAACAATTTATAGAGCATAACGTTTAAAATAAAATTACAAACCTAAATAAAGAAAGGGTTGGTTATTCCAACAGAAACCATATAGAACAGTTCCAGGATCTCCCCAGGCATTTAACAGAGGGAAGAGACCATTAAATATGGCAAAAGAAACATGCTGTACTAACTGCAACAACACATAAAAACCAAACAGAATCATTCTCCATTTCCCATCATTCTATCATTTATATATTTTGCTCCAGACAAGAATAGTTTCTGAGGGAGAGAGATCTCTAGGGTTTTCACAAAATCCTTTGAGTCAATCTCCTTCTCCATCATTCCTATTCTGTTGTTCAAATCCCTTCATCATCTAATTCTTGCATCCAAACAAGGCAAACATGCAGCTATACATGACCTAACTTGTACAACAAGGCACAAATCCTATACGATTTGACTTTTTTTTGTGATACACATACATATATAATCATTAAAAACAATAGTGAAAAAATGGTGAGGGTTGGTGAAGCATTGAGAGTATCAACCTCATCATCTTCATCTCTCAACGAAAGTGAATCCGAAGAGCTTCAAAAGATGTCACTAGAACCACCAAGAGCTAAACCCAAGAAACGTCTCTCTAAGCAACTCTCTATGCTGGAGACCAAAAGAGACATGGCATGGGAGCGTCGTCGTCGCCATATGCTCCATCACCTCGAGATGAAGCAAATAAACGAAGGAGGAGATACTGACTTAACGGACGAGGACTTGAGTGAGCTCAAAGGTTCTATTGAGTTAGGGTTTGGTTTTAACGAGGAGCAAGGGCAAAGACTTACAACTACTTTGCCTGCTTTGGATCTTTACTTCGCTGTGAACCGTCAGATCTCTCCTGTTTCTACACCAAGCAGCGGTGGATCTTCGTCCTCTCGACTTACTTCACTTGGAGACCGATCCTCCTCTTTTGGTAGTCCTATGAGTGACTCAGATGGATTGAAATTTATGTCTCCAGGTAATTTTTTTATTATTATTATTACCATTCATTATCATCATATGATAGCATTAGAGGATATGTTAGTTAAAATGTGTTGGAATGGGTATAATTTATTATAAGTAAACTTTCAGGAGATAACCCTCAACAAGTTAAAAGGAGGCTGAGGCATTGGGCACAAGCTGTTGCATGTTCTGTGATACAATATAATTAAGCAAAGAAGAGAGATATGGATTTTTACAAAATAAAAGAAGAAATGAGAAAGATGCATGAAGAGTCTTGCATGTCTCCAATCTTCAACAAAGGATCAAGAATCATTCTATTATATATTTTAGGTTTTTGCTTCTCTTCCTTTTTTTTTTTTCTTTTCTCTCTTCTTTTTAAATTTTCTTTTATCAAACTTTTTTTTTTCTAATGTCAAAGAGATGTACACTTCTTTTTGTGGGCGAGGAATAGACTTTTAATACAGAAAAAATGAATCTACTATATTAAAACAGAGTCATTCTTTTTATCTACTGATACAAGTTGTCATTTAAATTTGAACCCTTTCTAGAATGTTACAAATAATATAAGTCATATAATTGATTGAACCGTATTACTTAAATTAAACCAACACAATTAATGTAAAGAAACTACCTTAAGGTAAAATACCTTCAAAATATGGCAAGTATCTATGTGTATACCGAAAACACATATTTTCTCCTACAAATATGGAATGTTATAAAAGAATATATATCATCAAAATATGGAATATGGAAATCTACTAATTATACTTAAATTAAACTAGTGGGTATTTATGGAATATAGTCTTGGGCTTACTTTTATTTTTTTGAACAAATTACATAGTTTGGTTTTTGAACTTAGTATTAAGAAAAAAACTCTAAAAACATTGAATAAACTTTTCACCTTAAAAGATCAAAAAATAAATTATTATTTTTAGACCCAAAAGGTATTTAATATTTTTAACAAAACAAAATTATCTATTATTAATCATTTATTTAAATCATGTACTTTAAAACATGTTAATATATTTTTTTATTCTAAATAACAATCACTTTGTTTTGATATATTTCAATGGTAACTTTTAAATAATTTATTATTTTATTTTTCTTAAATAATTTACTGATTAAAAAAATGTAAAGCAAAACCAAAAACCAAATCTAAAAACTAAAATCCAAAACCAAAAGCTGAAAACACATGTTATATTTTTTGCTTTGTTTATCTACAAAATAAAATATTTCAAATTTTTTTTTTATTTGTTGTCATATTTTCAGTTTTGAATTAGATGTTCGATTATTTGAGATTTGTTTGTTGGAAATATTAGTTCAAACTAACTCAGCGGGTTTAAGAATTAAAAACCCAAACCAAAAACTGAAAATGAAAAGTAGAAACTTAAAAACTAAAAACCAAAAACCAAAATCTAAAAATAAAAACTGAAACTAAAAACTAATGAAAAATAATCGTCACCACAAATTTTGGTGAACTGATTTTATATCAAAATATTCTTTAAACTAAGACAAAACCCAATTATATAAATTTTAATCATAAAAAATTTCCGCGCTTTCAAGCGCGGGTCAAAATCTAGTATCTTGTTATTTTTGAAACTCAAGGTTCTTTGACTTCACCTTTTTTAACTAAAACCAGCAAATGAATATCCCTTTAACAAAGGCTCATGTCTCTTCACCATATTCTAAGCAAAAAAAAAAGTATTTTCACCATATTACAATAGGAGGGAAAATGTACATCAATCTTGACATGCAAGGTATCAATCTAACTAATTAAAAAAAAAAATTATATGAAAACTTCACACACACAGACACATTCACTCAAATCCTATAAGAAAAGAAAACATCACAGAAAATACAAAACAAACCCAAAGAAAGTGAAAACTTACAAGGAAATTATGCACACCAAACCCCAATAAAAATATGAATCATTTCGGCAAATTGTAAAAAAATAATAAGCTTTTTATTGTATACGAAATAGGAAAAGGCCATGAAGAAGATACTGTACAGATTCCTTGAGCGGTTTCACCACTCTGCAATAACTTCTCCACAAAGTTATCTAATATAAAAAGCAGAACATCATATGAGAACTTGAAATTTATACAACAATGAGAGAAGCATACAGGACATACCTTTGTGAAAAGTTGTTTACAGGTAAAAGCACCATCAAGTACTCTCTGTATGATTATGTCTTTTCATGCTGAGGTTTTGCAAATGAGAAGCTATTTCCTTAACAAACTGTACACCTTCACTTCCATACCCAAGAGAACTAACAACATGTTCTAAAAAATACAAGTCTCCCTTCAGCTTCTCTACTCTCTCACGTAGCTCAGTAACAGATTCTTGTGTTGCAAGTTTCTCAACATTAGCCTCACCATTTACATCTGCTTGCTCCATTTTTTCAATCTTCTCCAAACAACTAGTGATGTATAATCTCTCTTCCTCAAAACCATTTAAACAGTTCTGTATCTTCTTATGTGGAGTCTGGTTCCTGAAGTAATCAATCTCAGCTTCTAATTCTTGAATAACCTTCTCTCTTTCAAGAACCAAATCATTAAGTTTCTGTATTGCCTCCATATCATACTCAGCTTGCTCTTCCATCATCCTTAGGTTCTGCAAAGCTTCCATCTGAAACGTTGCCTTCTCTTCCTGCAGCCTTGTAATCATAGCCATTGCTTGGTTAGTAGCAACAGCTGAAGCATTTCTCTCTTCATCCAACTCTTTATATAAACCAGTGAGAAACTTCCTGTCATGATCAACCTGTCTTTTCAACCTCTCAATCTCACTTTCTCCTTCTATATCACTCACAGAAACTCCTTCCAAGGATAAGGTGCTCTCGTTTCTCTCCAGCATTCTCTTTTGAATCAGTAACTGCATGTCGTAATCGAGGCTCTTTGTCTCTTGATGATCAATAGATATCCTGGGGCTTATACGAGAAGATGATATTTGAGTGAGGAGTGCTTTGAGGTCTTGGCTAACTCTAGAAGTGTCTTTACTCATCCATTGCTCTATATGTGCTTCTCTGTTACTCTCGTTGTGTACAATGTTATTGTATGCATCTGCAAGATCTAGAAACTCACCTCCTCCTTGCGTCCACTCACCTGAATCAAGGTTTGTTTCTGCTGCTACTGACATTGAGTTGAAAGAAGAGGATTCTGACTCAGGAGCAGCTTCTGTGTGAGAAGGCATATGAAATGTCTCTTTCGTTTCCTTGTTGTCTGATACATAAGAGACTAATATCTATTACATTCTCTTTGTTTCATAATAATTTGAAAGCCTACACAAGCAAAGGTGGAGAGAAAACTTACAGTTTTCAGTTGAATCTTCAGGCATGGAGTTTGTAGATTTTGAAGGTGATACAACTACATATTCAGATTCCAGAGAGTTCATATCAGCTTGGTTTGTGTCCATCTCTTTCGACGTCTCAACAGCGGTTTCATTTGTAGTTAAAGACTCAGGAACCTCTTCTGGAGATGTATCATGAAGGGGCATAAGTTCAACTCCCTTTAAGACATGTTCAGGAGTTTCAGCAGCATCTGATGATGTTGAAGTAGCAACATCATTGAGGCACACAAGCTCACTCTCCTCCGTCAAGGCATCTGCAGGAGTTTCCTTAGAATTTTCACCTAAAGAAGTATCTTGGAGGTGAACCAGCTCTTCTTTTTCCTCCCTCTTTAAGACATGTTTAGAAGTTTCAGCAGCATTTGAAGGTGTTGAAGTAACATCATTGATGCAAAGTAGCTCAGCCTTCTCTATAAAGACATCTGCAGGGATTTCCTTAGAATCTGGTGTTAAAGAAGTCTCTTGGAGGTGAACCATCTCTTCTTTCTCCGGTAAAACAGTCTCCCTCATTAATACATCTTCAGGAGTTTCACCTGCAACTGCTGTTGAAGTAACATCATTAAGGCAACTAAGCTCTGTATCCTTAAAATCTGATGTTAAAGAAATATCTTGGAGTTGAATCAAATCTTCTTCCTCCTCCTTCATAACAGCTGCAGAATCCTCCACGCCGCGTGATGTTAAGAGAAGATCATCTAATGATGTGATCCCTTCTTCCTTTAACACCTTCTCTGAGGTTTCAGACACACCATTAACTGGAATAAGCTCAGTCACCTCCATCAAGGCATCTGCAGGACTTTCCTTAGAATCTGGTGTAGCAGAAGTATCTTGAGCGTGAATCAAATCTTCTTTCTCCTTCAGAACAGCTGCAGAATCCTCCACGCCGCGTGATGTTACAAAACTATTATCTAGTGAAATGATTTCTTCCTCCTTCAACGCCTTCTCAGATGTTTCAGGCACCTCATTAACTGTAAAATGAACTTCCTCTTGGTCATTTTGGTCAACCAAAGGCTGCAAATAGGAGTCAAGGTTTAGCAGCTTATCAGTAGCCATATCATAAGGCAAACTGATAACTGGAAGAGTCTCCAGGTCCATATTTTGAAGCCTATGATCCTCTTCTTTGACTGCAACACCTTCATCTTCAAAAAATACATCTTCTGGTTCTGTATCTGAATGAATCTTGAGCTCAGTGTACCCAACATGAGGCAAATCATTGAACCTGACACTTTTCTTTTGTGTACTAGTTTGAATCTTGGATAGTGTTTCCGGTTTAACCAACACCTCATTAGTAGAACCGGTTTGTGACATCCACACCTGATTACAACATGTGCAACATCTTGGACTTGTGCTTTGATCACTCTTAGATCCAGAGGAAGAATCTTCACTCAACTTCCCAACCAATAATCTGAAAGTCTCATCAGCATTAGACTTATTAGTTGTAGCAAAAGAGAGAAGGCAAGTCTCACACATTCCTCGGACATCTACAAGCTTGCCATCACAGAAAACCAATGAAGAGATTTCTGATTTGTGTTTAGAGCAAAACATGTCCCAATGAGATTTCTTCAATTGTTCTGTCCTCCCTAGGATATGATCAAGCTTTGAGCATATAAGACATGGAGATTGGAGCTGAGAGTAGTCTGCAAACTTTGTGATCACGTAGGTGAATATGGAGTTAACAAAGAGCATGAGCATAAGCAGCCACTCATTGAAGGCTAATGCTAAAGCTCTTGTTAAACTCCGTGAAGTAGTCTGAGATTTTTCTGGAGACATCTGTGTAGTATCCATCTTCTTGGTATAACATAAAAGATCAAGAATCAATAATAGCAGGTTTCAAATCTGCAACAACCAGATGCAAGTCAAATATTTAGTTAAGACTATAAACAGAGACAAGAAGAGAACGTTGACCAAAACAAAACCAAACATACATATAGAAGTTAAGCTTATAATCCTTGTCTTAGTCTATTTCCACAGTTAAGATCTCAATCTATTCCAAACAAAACTATTTTTTTATATAATTGAAAGAATAAAAAAAGATCTAAAAGAACAAGTAACAACTCAACTTACAATTTTCTGGAAAAAAAAAAAGAAATCAAAAATAGAACACTCTAAGCTAGCTTAAGAAAAATATACTAAAGGAAGATGAACACTAGCATCAAGAGAGGCACAAATTTTATATGAATCAAGAACACAAAACATAAGCTTATTTCTCTGTTATATGTAAATCTCTAACCTTTTGATCATGAGATAGGATCACCAGAGTCAGTGGAAGTATATTTCTTTTTGGATCGAATGTTTTGATCACAGAGTTGAAAGTACAATAATTACAAAAGCTTACTTACTCTGTTTTTGTTTGATTCCATTTATAATATATTTTTTTGTAAAAAAGAATACTCAAGAAAAAGGGGAACACTTACATAGACCCAGCTAGGACACCAAAATCACAAACTATTAAATAAACCCAAAAATTATTATTCTGTTTTGAAACATTGAATGAGATCTATTTGATTGACCAAACCAAATACTAAGGGAAAACAAAAGATAAACATAGTGGAAACAGATTAGAAAATGCTTTGACAATTGGCAGTATTGGTGCTAATTCTAATAATTTAACCTTTTTCATTATATAATAATGTTTTTGGTAGTCTTTAAAACGAGTAATCATCTTTTAATGGTAGGCAGAGATTGAAAGTAAAGGTTGGACGGTGAAGTCGGCTACTGATTAGACAAAAATGGCTGCCGAAAAGTTGGTTAGGCCCAAACCCAAGCTTGAACACCTTGTGGTCAGTGTCGGCTCTCCTCTAGGCCCAGTTCAGACCTTAAGGGGATGAACAAGATAATATGTTCTTATTTGCATGATGAAAATGATAAAAGTAAGAAGAAGAAGAAAATATATGTATTTTTCGAAGTTAATGCTTAAAATTTTCAATATATTAGAGAGAAAGTGACTACAATATAGACCCATTGTTAGAGGATGTTCAGCGATCGTTACGTATGGGTTTCTCATTTTTCATATACTCTTAACCATCTTTTTAGTATGGATGGCCTACATTCATTATTATTTCTAATTTCTTCAAATATAAAGATAACACGTTTTCGTGTGTGATAAGCTTTAAATTACATCTCTCAGCAATCTTGTTTCTATGGACTAAAAGGTAAAGAGAGTTCCCAAGATATTTTCGCATCTATAACACTGATCGTTGATCAACATCTAATAACCATGTAGTAATCAGTTGATGTGATTTAACATAACATAATATTTAACCTCTAAATATAATATTACTGATTGATAAATGAGTAGACAAATTCAGACTAGTTATACAACTTATGCAGTGAGCATTAACTAAATATATATTAGAGAAACCAAAAACATGATATTATGTATTTTGGTTTCTTTATTTGTGTCTATAAAATTAGTAGTCCCATTAATAAGTTTCACATGGAGAAAGAAAAAAAAAAAAGAGATGGTGACAATTAAATTAAAGCATATTAGAGAGCTCCATCAATGGACTCATCTCCTCCATTTGACCCCCAGTGTTTGTTTCCTCCAAAAGCCATTTCTCAATAAATGTCAATGGTGGAGTAGCATCACCATCACCATCACCATCTTCTTGAACTTCATGATCGCATTTAACGTTTTCCTCTGAGTTCTTTGGATGAACATGGAATCCCTGATCCCAAGAACCTTGTACATGCTCCTCCTGAGACTGATGATCATTGTGATGATCCATGAGATGGTTCGTCCTGTTTTGTTGCTTTTGTTCCAAGAAACTAGCCGTGCTACTCTTTGGAGATGCTCTCATCCAACCTTCTAGAAGGCGAGAAATGTTTTCAGTGCTTGAAGCATAGGTAGATCTATGATTAATAGTGTTTCTTGTGACTGAAGTTTGCAACGTGATGTTCTCTGAAAGGCTTCTCTCTTCACTCTCAGACTTGTTGAGCTTCTTCTTCAAATGGGTGTTCCAATAGTTCTTGATATCATTATCAGTTCTTTGTGGTAGATATGAAGCTATAGACGCCCATCTTAAAATGATCAAACATATCCATATGTAGACAATAAGCCAAGTTAGGGTTCATACCATCAAGATAATAAGAAAAAAAAAAATTTAAAATGTGAAGAGATAATGCGTAAATGAGATTACTTGTTACCCAATAGGGCTTGCAAGTGAATGATCATTCCCTCCTCATGAGGAGTGAAGTTTCCACGTTTGATTCCAGGTCTCAGATAATTAGTCCATCTCAGTCTACAGCTTTTGCTGCATCTCAATAACCCTTTTGAAATGCCAAAGATACAAACATCATCAGGAGACATGAAAAACAACAAAATAAACAAAAACACACAAGAAGAAAATATGTTAAAAAATAATGATATATAACCAGTGTTGGTGGGAACAGATCTCCAGTTTCCTGGACCATGTTCTTGGATGTAAGAAACAAGAATGATGTCTTCTTCAGGAGTCCATGGACCTTTCTTGATCCCTATCTTGTCACAGCATGGAGGCCTCCCCATCTTTATCTCTCTAGATCTCTAGAGTTTTTAATTATGCTGGTTCTTTATAGATGTGTGAATATGTATATTATACATAAATGAATTTAATGCGTTATGTGTATGTATATATGTGAAATTAATTGTGTGACTTAAACAAGAGGGAAGAACTTTTAGACCTGCTTTTCTTGACAACTTCTTTTGTATCTACCAAGCTCACGAGTCACTCTTCCTTTTCCATTTACTATTTTGCGTAGTCAAATTAACAAAGACAGTTTGATGATCTCTATAAGAAAAATGTTTATCTCCTCTTCTGATAAAACGTTACTGAATTATTTAGTAAGCGGTCCACCAAGTTTATTAATCATCGAGTATTGCCATAAAAGGAGCTTTTTAACATATTGTAGGTGAATAATACAGTTTGTGTCGGTGAAAATAAATTGCTTTATATAGAACTTCCGTTCGTAATTTTACTTATATTGCGGACTTGATGGAGGATTCGTGCATGTACTAACCAAGCTATATGACATTTTGGTGAAAGTAGTTGTAATGGGTGGTAAACATAAAGTGTGACATGAAAACAGAAAATTTTACATTGATTTTCTCCATGATTAAAGGGAATCCATCCGCTGCAACTGGGACATCCTCAAGACTCAAGTTTAGAAATATTAAATGCAGAATTTAGTGCAACTTTAAACAAAATAGAAAACTATAATCACACAACTTTTCTATATACAATTTTGAGGACATATATTAAAGTTGCATTTTGATTGCCTCTCTGGATCGATGTCTTTTGTTGTAATGCATCACGCACTACCCGTTGCTACTTATGTTCAACCAATAATATTATTTTTCAAAAGGAAATAAAATTTACCATTTGCGTTCCTTGTAATATACTTTTCATGTCGATGCTTGTTACAACTATCATTTATCGTTATTAGGTTTATCTTTAAAATAGAAAGTAAAAGGGCAGATAAACAAAGCAAATCATCATAACATATGTCCATTTGTGTCAACTAACACTCAACGCTATACAGTCTATAATAATAATTCATCTTACAAATGCCTGGAGAAACATCATTATGACCAAAACGAAACCAATCATTAAATTCCCTTCCTTTGTCTATATTTCTGACTGCACACTTGCTAAGAGATATAAAGAGAGAGAGACCGAGCAGTCAAGTGCGCAGACAATACCCAATAACGATACTGATGAATGCAACCACGCATACAAACAACAGAGGGAACCCAATGTGAACTTCTTTCACTATCTTCTTCGTCCTCAGCTCCGCCTGCATCACCGATATAAAGAAAAGCTTTGTTTATTACATGGTTATTTAACAGATACAGCTATGTAAGTCAGTCACTACTAGCTATAATCTCACCAGCTCTTGTTGCAAGATTTGTCTATGTTGGGAGCTTATAGACCGCTCCTCCATTAGCTTCGTAATTGTTGAATCAGCCTGCATTAGTTTTTTAACTCGTTAACAGTGCGCAGAAGATTGCACCTAAGTTAAGGACTTCTACATATTTGATAACCAAACCTGTTTTAGCTTGGATTCAAGAGCATTGACTTTCAGCTTCATCTCCTCAATGTCTTTAACCAACTTATACTCGTCCACTGCTTTGATACTCTGAGCATCTGTTTTCTGCAGCTGTACAAAGTCTCTGTCCCTAGGTATCTTTGGTTCTTCAGTATAATTCACACTGTTGGCTGAGGTTTTTCCATTAGAAAACCCTTGATCCCCAGAAAGATCCATAGCCATATTCGTGGTAGTACCCAAATCATGTGTTGGCTTTATTTCCCTTCCATCATCTTCATCCTTATGAGACCTAATAGGATAAGATTCAGCTTCTTTTGCCATTTTTAATGTATCGTAGCCACCTTTAGTTGCCTTTATGTCATTTTCAATGAAATCTACGCCCTTCCTTGGTTGCTTTAGCTCATCATGCTCAACCATCCTAGGCTCCTTTACAATCTCACTCTCCTAGAAAAATAAAGATTGAAAATAAACAAACAAGAATAAGAAACTGCCTACTAGACCCAATAAATGTGATCATAGACTAAGCTAAAATGGACTTGGTGGGAAAGAACCACACACACTGCTTGGCGATTACTCTTCATGTATTACAAAAATCTCAGAAAAAACTTGGTTGTGAAAAGGGCTAAATACTGTTCTTACATATTGCGGAGGAAGAGTCTCTGGTTGACCATGTAATCGATCCTTGAGGATGGAATCTTCAAATACTGCTTCCTGCTTTAGTGTCCCCTTAATTGGAGATAATTCAGGCGAGTCAGAGGGCATCACGAGAGTGACTCTCAGTTTGTTTTCCTCAATGTGTTTGCCTTCCACTTTGGAGAACTGGCAGGAATAAACGAATGAATATACAGTCATACTTGAAAGACCAAACAACCAAACTTCAGGATAGAGAGGCTCAGAAGGATTACCATGCTAGCTGTGATGTCTTCATCAGTTGTTTCCTCAGGCACAACAGTACTCTGGATTAAGAACTTGTCTTTGCAAGCCATATCTGGAGGCGGCTCTTTGAAAGCTTGCATGATGACTGCAATAACATACATCGCTATTAACCCAAAGCAGTGACTGAGCTAATAACAACGCAGGTTACAAGTATTGAGAAATAATTATAACTTAGCAACTCCACCCGGAGTAGATATATGCTGCTTTTTGGACAACTACTATTTGAACTCTGAAAGCCTAGGATCCTAAAACAAACACTTTTCAAGTTCGAGCTACAAAGGACAATTATATGCGAAAATAAACATTCCAGTTCATTCCCAGGCCAGTAGACATCTAGCAAAACCTTATCCCACCGACTGAAGAAATGTAGGTGCAAGATATTAAGCATGGTTCGAAATGATATAAAAGTTGGCATACCAGAGAATTCACAGGTTGATTTTGGTGCAACAACGCCAACATTTGGACGGACACAGTACTTCTTTGGTGATGTAGTTTTGACCTGTTAAAGTACCAAAACCACAACTAATTTAGGGATCTTATCCAGAAATAAAAATATATTTCTCAGAAAATTTTAAGATATAAGATACCTAAAGCCAGAAAAAAAATAGAGAGAAGAAGATGGAGAAAGAAGTGTGTAGACCTTAAAAGCAACAAAATGCTGAGTTGTGTTTGTTAGCTGAACCACGCAGGTACTCTGCTTCTTGAGATCAACTACAAAAAGAGGAAACAAACAGGTTAGTCTTAAAAAGGATAACATTTACAGATGCTTTTGAAAAGCACGGCAAAAATATCGTTCTAGCTACTTCCATCTTCACAGTATTATTACATAACACACAAATCCAGCAGCAAGAAGTAGTTTGAAAGTTACTCAGCACAACACACCTTAACATTACACCATGGCACTACTATGGTAATTCTAGTTCCACGGAATGATTACAATTCAGAGATCCGTATTTTTTTGAACGAGAACCACAGTGTCTAGTAACTGAACTTAATAATCATTAAGCAAGTGATAAGGATCAGTGCCTTGACATCTTTACCTACAAACTTCAATGTTCGTGGTTGAATATCCAACAGCGGCATATTCATGGTTGCAGTGACGAAATCTGGTTATACTTCACCACTCAGCTTCAAACAGCTACCACTCTCTCCGCCTCTATCACGAGAAAAATTAGAGAAAAAACACAATAGATCAGTTAATAAGAAGCACTCAACCATGAGAGTTTTGATACTTAGAAAAGAAAAGCCAAATCAGATCAACAAGTCACTGTACAACAATCATAAAAAGAACTCTCTCTCTCTCTCTCAATGATTAGAAACATAACGAAATCTAACAAAGCATTAAACCAGAGCCTAAGAGCGATATCAAAAAAAAATGGTAGCGATTCAGTTGCAAATAAGCAGGAAACGGGAACGGTTAGAGTTCGCGTTATCGTCTTCCGTTATCACAGCGCTAACTCGCCGGAAAACGCAAACGCGATTTTATCACCTTAGTGCGTTCTTTAATCAGCGATTCTGCCGACACAGTTTGTCGGCAACGCGGTTTCGAGTAGCCAGAAAAATCAAATCAAAACCCTAGCGTGCAGTTCCACGACGATCTATCTAATTACTTCACAGTCACACTGCTCCTATTTTTTTTTAAACGAAACGACAACGTTTTATTTGAGGAGCAGGTTCCTCAACGGGATCGAATAGTAAAAACTCAGATCACACCGGAGCCCTAGCGATTTCTATTTTCATCACAACTTAATTCGAGGAAGAAGCTAAACGAGAAAGTATTACCGTGAACCGTCGACTAAGAAGAAACAAAGCTGCGAGATGGGGGAAGAAGCAGCGGTAGACAAGTAGAGAGAGAGAGAGAGAGAGCGGTGGGATTTTTCTAGAAACCTTATGTGAAGTGAGCCAAGGAAGGGTCGGTGGTCAAATTGAAGTAGTGAAGGCGAAGTATTATGTGAATGTGTTCAAACCATCGAACATTTAAAAAAAATTTAAGTGAGATTTGAGAATAAAAAACAAAATTTAAGTGAGATTGCAATTTGGTAGATGCGAAAATATAGGAGAGAATGTGATTGGGTAATAACTGACAACTTTTTAAAATTAAATTTGAAGAGGGTATAACACGCGTGTACTGTGATTCCATTCCGATCACCTACCCTACCTTGCTTTCTCATTTTATATATGCCTTTACCAACACAAAAGATTAGAGTGATTTTAATTCGTAATCAAATATTCCGGATAACCTCAACAATATAAAACGTAACGCATAACAAATTATATTCCTCACTCAAACAAAGTTTGATTTGAGTTGAGTTGTGACAAGAACAACTACACAACAGCTCATCCACACACACAAAAGGATCATTGATAACTATTCTCGTGCTGTGGAAATGAATCATCCATGATTTTCTTGCAAAAGGATTATCAGTCGTATCATTTTCGAGTTGTTGTGCATATATTTATTTCAGTAGCAACTATGGTTATGTATCATGATCTCATAAAGAGCAGTACGAAAGAGTTAGTCCACTAAACTGAGAGCCCACAAGCTGAGACTCCAGAGAGTCCACTAGTTTTGAATGGGGGCCCATTAGTTCAGATGCATCATTGTTTTTTAGTAATTAAAAATCAAACATAAAAAAAAAAATGACCAAGGATTAGGAGAAGATCTAGCTTCCTTCCATTAATCATCTTAACCTGCCTGGTTTTTATAATATCGAATCACCTACCAACATTTCGGCCTCGTGTATATCTAGAACCAGCACAAAGAGAGAGCATCAAGACAAAGCTCATTGAGTGATTATTCAGCAATTGATAGCTATAAAACGTTGATCATACGCCAATCTCAGAGCAACAAGGGATCATATGCAGTCTTTATCCTTTCCCTAAAGGAGAGCTGTTGCTCAGAGAAATCGATGTTAACATCTAACAAGATTTGAAAACTATATCATAATCCGATTTGATTAAAGTTTTTGATTCTTTGTTGAACTTAAAGGTTTGATTTCGATTTTTTTTTAAGCAAACCTAAACATCAATCAACCCACACAACAACTAAAAGTTACAACCAAAAAACAAAGAGAACTCAAAACTCTTGAGAAGCCGATCCAATATCTCCTTTATTCTTCCCAACTTTAGAAGGCAAAAGATTCGAATGAATATTCGGCAACACACCTCCATTAGCAATCGTCACAGCTCCCAAAAGCTTACTCAACTCCTCATCGTTCCTCACCGCAAGCTGAATATGCCTCGGCACAATACGTGTCTTCTTGTTATCCCTCGCCGCGTTTCCCGCCAACTCCAAAACCTATATCAGAAAACCCCCAAATCGAATCAATACAGAGAATAACAACACCAAAACCTAATAATCAATCGAATCGATTCAGAGAATTAATACCTCAGCCGCGAGGTACTCGAGAACGGCGGAGAGATAAACCGGAGCTCCGGCACCGACACGCTCTGCGTATTTCCCGGCCTTGAGGAATCTAGCGATTCTTCCGACGGGGAATTGAAGACCGGCTTTGGATGAACGAGAGACGGATTTGGTTGCCTTTGGCTTTCCTCTTCCTCCTTTGGTTGTTCCGCTTGCTGCGTTGGTGCTCATCGTCTCTTTCGAAGCGTAGATAGTTTCACGATTTAAGAAATGGAGTGAAAGTTGTGAGAGCGGAAGATGTTGAGTGAGTCTAGGGCTTCTTCGCCGTTCTTTATTTATAGGCTGAAAGTATTAACTCTTATTGGTTAGTTATAGAATCACGCGGATTGCCAGCGTGGCACTTAATCTAGCCTTTAAAATTGGTTCGTCTATTATGGTCCGTACATCTGTCTTTATTTTATTGTTGGAAAATAGGGAGAGAGAGAAACACAATTATGAGAAGTTATAAGGACTAGTTAGCAATTTATAAAAAGATTAAGGAGTTAACTGCAAACAATTAAAAAGTTATAAGCTCCGCCTTGCGGATACGTCGCGACGGTTTTGGGGAGAAACTTCTCGGAGACGACTGAAGAAGAAGATTCAGTGGTGAATCCGATGAGTTCTAAGTATTTACTCTTTCTCTTATTATACTCTGTGTTTAGTCTAATATTCTTATCAGTGTCATTTGACTTTTGATTTGTTTAATAGTTTCAATTAAAAAAAAGAGGTTAAACGAACATTCTCATTGTTTACGTTTAATAGGGTGAATCATCGCAGTGAGGTCGTCGACGAAAACAGAGAGTTTCACGCTTACTGCTTCTCTCTCGCTAAGTAAGTCTGCTTAGTATTTATCATCACTCTGCATTTTAATCTTTTGAGAATATTCGGTGGAATCTAATTAGGGTTTGTTTTGTGGTGAATTNAGAGGTTAAACGAACATTCTCATTGTTTACGTTTAATAGGGTGAATCATCGCAGTGAGGTCGTCGACGAAAACAGAGAGTTTCACGCTTACTGCTTCTCTCTCGCTAAGTAAGTCTGCTTAGTATTTATCATCACTCTGCATTTTAATCTTTTGAGAATATTCGGTGGAATCTAATTAGGGTTTGTTTTGTGGTGAATTGCAGTCGAATTGATGCCTCTATTGGGAAAGATGAAGTTCCTGTGGACGCTCAAGAGCTTGCTAAAACCCTCATTAATCAAGTTTGTTTACTTTTTTTTTTTTGGTCTTACAAAGTTTCAATTTTTTTCAAAGTGCTTCTTTAGTAACTTAGTATGCTCATACTAACTGTTGTTTCGTTGTTGTATGGTGAAGGTGTGTCGACGACATAGATGTGATGATGAAACGAAGGCGGTGATGATGGTGTTGATGATCTCTGTTAAGGTAATAGAAGAACAGAGTTAGAATTAGTAACTCTTGTAGTGGTTAGCTATTGTCAGAATTTCGTTTAAAGGTTGATGATTTAGATATTATAGGTTACTTAATCGAGGTGTGTATGTATGTAATAATGATGTATTTATGTTTCTTGCATAGACTGCATGTGGGCTTGGATGGTTCCCGGAGAGAGAATCTCGAGAACTGCTGGCTCTTGTAGACTCGGTACGTGTGTAGTTCCAGACGAATTACTAATTTTTGAGAATATTTTGGATTTCTTTTAGTTAGTGATGTTTTTCTTCTTGGACAGATGTGGAAGGGTTTCAGCAGTCCTGAAAACGTTGCCTCTGGTCTAAGTAGTGCCGTCAATCTAATTCCGCAGGTCATGGAGAGGTAAGCTGATGTTTCCTTGTGCTACTTTAACTTATGAGAATTTAGTAGTCGATGGTAGCTGCAGCTTCTTAGGGGAATCTTGTTCATCCACATATCTCACTCTAGCAAGGGTTCTAAGATTGGAATGTTGGTTTGTTTGATTCTGTAGGTTCTATCCATTTACAAAGCTGGGGCAAATACTTGTTTCTACTGAGGCGGAGGTGACTTTAATTTATTCAGTTCTATGCACCTTTTAATGTGTGCCTGAGTTAGCTTTTTCTCTTCTGGCAGGCAGAATCAAACATATTGATGAAGGACTTCCATATTTCTAAAAAGATGCTGCAAGATTCTCCCAAACAGAAAGTAGTACGTATTAGAATTTATTTTATGGATGCGTTTTATTACTCTGCGTCTTCATTTAAATTCGCTTTTGTCGCTCATATTGTATTGTGCTTGTGTGGGTTCTCCTGCATTCAAGTTTTTAGTGCAACTAGGTATGTAGATGCATGAATGTACTTTTAAGCTTAAGTATTAGCTTTTCTGGTCGTGTCACTTCAGCGTTTTATATGTTTGGATCTTTGTTCATGTATCCTCTTATTATACCTGATTGTTTATTACGGGAATCTTGCTTGCTCTTCAGGGATTATTTGTTTTTCGGGCAGAGGACATAAGCAAGTCTAATTGTATTATACATCCTCAAAAAGTCAGGTGTGGCTGTATTGCTTTCCGTTTTGGGATGCAGTTTCTGTATTTTAACTAATCACAATGGCTTTTATGTGAAATTACAGCTTTCTGCTGAATGGGAAGGGCGTTGAAAAGAGATATGGCTTATCAATGGTTTGTGCATTTGCTTTCTTGGATATGTTTTTGAAGTACTTACTATCTATTTTACAAGTAATTGTTTATCGTAATTTTTTATTCAGGATTCTGGGCCGCAGTGTCCCACGAATGTTACTAGCCTGCTCAACCCTGGGTCAAACCTTCTGCAAACAATAGGCTGTTTTAAAGGTTTCCGTTGAATTGATATTCTAACCATCATCTTTTTTCATCTTCTCATTTCAGTGGTAATGAACAGATTTCCATTTGCTATAGGTAGTTACCTCATTGTTATTGCCTTAATGGATAACATATCACTGCCGGCCAATCCGTTGCTGAAAGATTATGTTCATTCTGAAGTCATTGAATCAAATTCAGGTAATATCAAGAGCTTTCAGTCACTAGTATAAGAAACCATTCGCTTAATGTTTATTGCATATCCCACAATGAAGTCATTTTTCATTCGTACAATTTTTTCCGAGAAAATTCTTCTCTAGATGAACCATTGTTTGGGTTTTTCAAACTTTTTTGTGTAGATTGTGACATAGTTGAGGGCCCATCAAGGATATCTCTCAGTTGTCCTATCAGGTACGGGGATTTTATTCTAGATTTACATCTCGAGAAATTGCTTTCAAAATTACCTTAACCTTATAAAAATTTAATCATCACCATTGTAACAGCCGCACACGTTTCAAACTTCCTGTGAAGGGTCTTGCCTGTAAACATCTTCAGGTGACGCATTTTCTGTTTAGTACGAGAAATGATAGTATCAGTCTTGTGTTTCCATTGTTTAAATCATGGTGAAGAGAGCTAATTCATTAATACATAGAACTCAGGGCTTTCGTTTGCTTCGCTGTTTCTTCCATAACATATCTTGTTGAGTTATATTTTAGTACGTAAATACATTATAATTGTTAACATCATTCATTGTTTAAGTTGCTAAGAAAATTCAGCTGTTTTCAGTTTTCATCATTTCTCCGCATGTACCATTCAAATAATGACCTCTTATTTCACCTGTTTCACCCTGTGCTTTATAAATAGCTTATAAAAGGATGCTTGGCTTATCAAAATTATAATATATTGTTACTTTCTGTTGTAGTGTTTTGATTTCTGGAACTATGTCAAAATAAATACGAGAATACCATCATGGCGCTGTCCGCATTGCAATCAGTCTGTCTGCTATACTGACATCCGTGTAGATCAAAACATGATAAAGGTAAGTAGCTTACTACTGTTGCTTGGCGGTACATCTTTTGACATCCTACGCTGGATAAACAACGTTGTCTAATATCCACAGATTCTAGAAGAAGTGGGATGTAATTCTACGGATGTGGTTATCTCTTCTGATGGATCATGGAGGATTGTAACGGAGAACGGTGAGAATGTGGGAGCTGTGCCGGAAACCACTCATGAACACCGGGACGCAACTAGTTTCCAAAACATGGGCCCTACTGTTATGGATCTTACCATAGATGATAACGAAATGGAAACATCAAGAGGCACTCAAGTCAATGAACAGAAGCCTTGTTTATCCGAGATTCAGGGTCTGTCTTCTGCACTGCCAGAGTTGCCACAAACTTTGAATACTTTTGATGGGCAGCAACAGTTCATCAACTCTCCGCAAGTAGGAAACACGCGAGATTCAGCAGCAAGGGATGCCATTCCTACCAACCTATATCCGCAAGATAGATTAGCTACAAATACGGCCAGCTTTCACACATCAATGCCTGGTGCTCAGTCTTCTCAGTTTCAAGGGTCACATGTTACCCCCCTCAGAAATTGTCTTGGAAGAACCACTGATTTGATGGAGAGATGGAACCACATCTATGCAAATAGCACAACTCAAACTCAATTGACACCCATGCCTCCTCCGTTGAATCACCAGTATGCAATGCAGGTTTGTCATCCATTACTCAATGGTGTTTTTTGTTTTGTTTTCGATCATTTGTTTTGTTATCTTCACCTGATCTTCACCACCATATGTACCTGAAGAATTGCTATCTTAATCTCTCACATTCTGTTCTGATCGGTTTGCAGAACCAGAGACTTCCCACCAGAAGCATGACCCCTGCACAGGACAGATCGATCCCATCTTCAGTTACACATCCCCAAACTTTAGGTGGCAACTATGGAGGAACCTCCGAACAGAGGCACATGCAAAGACGGAATCCAGGTGGCTCATCGCGTGAGTCCATGAACTTGACTCCTGCTAACACAGGAAACTGGCGCCCACAGACCCGGATGCGAGGCAGCCTAACGCCAGGTTCCACGGAGTATGACCACATGATCATTCGACCTACTCAGCCGGTTCAGACACAAGCTCAAACACTTTCTCAGTCAACAGCTTATAATTATATGCCGGTTCAGACACAAGCTCAAACACTTCCTCAGCCTCAACCAACACCTTACTATAACAGTATAGATGATGAGATTCAAGCTTATTTGGCTCAACAAACGGAAGCTGGAATCGGTTCAGTTCCGTGGTCAATGCCTCCTGAGACATGGTGATTATCTGATGGCACCACAACGGTTTGTAGCAATAGCATGTGTCCACTAACACAATCCAAAAGGGTTTCTTTTTTTTTGTTTGTTACTAACCGGCTTTGGCTTCCGGTATGTATATGGGTGTATTTTTTATTTACTCAATGTGACAACAATTTGGTATTTTTTAGAGTATCCTATGGTTATATA